GGGGGCAATTCAGTAAACCCTATTCAATCAGCACAACACCCCCTAAAATAATATGATAGTGCTATAAATAGCTGCTGCTAAAACACTGTTAGTGACTTCACAACACTTGTACCAAAATGAATAACAAAGTATTCATACCCCTTTAAATTTTCCACATTTTGTCATGTTACAACCAAAAACATAAATGTATTTTATTGGGATTTTATCCCATTTCCCTCCCGGCCTATGGCCAAATGGTGGCCGGCAAAAACCCTCACCTTTCCAGGTGGACGGCATATGGCGTCCTTTCTGGCATGCGCAGTTTGCGCGTCTGCAGAGCCGTGCGATCTGTCACCGGCCGTGTACCTCGGACATGGCCGATGACAGATCTGAGTACCGGCCCCGTCGCCGATACCATGTGACCTGCTGTGAAAAATCACAGGTCACATGACAGTTGTCAACAATAGATGGCTTCTTTCATGCCATATATGTAAAAAAAAAAAAAAAAATACTGATCACTTCCCCAAAGTAGTACAATGTTACTATGGTAACATTGTACTACTGTTGGTCATAGTGAAATATGAAAAAAAAAATCTTAAAAAAAAAAAATGTAATAAAAAATTTAAAAAAAAAATTATTATATTTGTTTTTCATATGTCACCAGTCAGTGTCCCTGATCACCCTCACCGCCATGCCAGTTATATGATGATGCTGTACCTGCACTGGTGACAGTATGTAAAAAAAAATATAGTGAAAATAATATTTTTTTTTCATTTTCTGAAAAAAATGACAAAAAAAAAAAAAAAAAAAAAAAAAAAAAAACAACTTTTAAAAAAACTCGCCATGACTCCTACGAAGTACGTCGGACTGTCTACTTTGCAAAAAAAGGGGTCATTTGGAGGATATCTGTACTGTTCTGAACATTCTTGGACCTCAAGAAATTAGATTGACTGTCAGTACTTCTCAGGATTGATCAATATTCAGATATATACCACATTTTGTGAACTCTAATAACTTCCTAAAAAACTAAAAAATACATCCTAATTTGGGTTATTTTCACCAAAGACATGTAGCAGAATACATCTTGGCCTAAATTTATGAAGAACAAATTATTTATTTGCAAACTTTTATGAGAAACAAAGGAAAAACGTGGGTTTTTTTTTTTCAAAATGTTGGTTTTTTTTTTGTTAATTAGCAAAAAAAAAAAAAAACCCCAGTGGTGATTAAATACCACCAAAAGAAAGCTCTAGTTGTGTGAAGAAAATGATAAGAAAATTTTAGTTTGGGTACAATGTTGTATGACCGCGCAATTGTCATTCAAAGTGTGAGAGCGCTGAAACCTGAAAAAATGGGCCTGGGCAGGAAGGGGTAAAAAGTGCCCATATTGAAGTGGTTAAGTGATCTTAACCAATCACAAAAAATTGGCACATAATTGTGAAGTGGAAGGAAAATGATAAATGGTTTTCAAAATGTTTTTACAGAATAAGTATCTGAAAATTATGGCTTGCATTTGTATTCAGCCCCCTTTTACTCTGATATCCCTAACTAGAATCTAGTGACCAACTTTGCCTTCAGAAGTCACTTAAAGTAAATAGAGTCCACCTATGTGTAATTTAATCTCAATATAAATACAGCTGTTCTGTGAAGCCCTCAGAAGATTTGTTAAAGAACATTAGTCATCAAAACAGCATCATAAAGCCAAGGAACACACCAGACAGGTCAGGGTTAAAAATTGTGGAGTTTTTTTGTTTATAGCAGGGCTAGGTTATAAAAAATCCATCACCACGAAAATGTAAGACTAAAATGTTAAAGACTCTATGGAAACAACTGCAACCTAACCAAGACATGGTAATTAATTGCCGTCCACAGTAGGTAAACTGACAGGCTGGGCAAGCAGAGTATTAATTCATTGGAGAACATCACAGATTGCCAAGAGGCCCATGAAAGGTTCAAAAACTTCGTTCACAAGAGGCAGCTGCAGAAATCCACAGCTCAGGTGGCGAAATCCTTGGAGTTGTCCACATTCAGGTGGGACAACTAATTAGTCGGGCACTCCATGAAGATATTAATCTGGAGCCTTTACTGAATGGAGTGGCAAGAAAGAAAGCCATTGTTGAAAGAAAGCATCAAGAAGTCCCATTTGAAGTTTGCGATCAGGGTTGGTGGGCGGCCAGCGGGGGGCTTAGGGCCAATATTACGGGGGGGTGGCGGGGCGGGGGAATGTGGGAGGGATAGGAAAGGGGCAGGGTCCATGGGTAGGGAATGGGGGGGGGGGCGGGGGGGGGGGCTAGATATCGCAAGGTGCACATGGGTTAGATTTTTTACCAAGACTTTGAGGGTTGGTGGGGGGCGGTGGTGTGGGTTCGGTGGGCTCCGTGGATCGGGTGTTAAAAGAAGCCTGGTGTCGTAGTGGTGGGTGGGGGGGGGCACGCGCGTGGATGGGAGCTGTGCGTGTAATTATACTGTATGGTGGGGGGGTGTGGCTAAAAGGAATATGATGGAGAGGGGGTCATATGAAAGTCCAAAATTTAAGTTTGGGGGGCTGCAGAAGGGCCAGCAAAACGAAACATTGTTGGGGGTGGTGGAGGGAGTGTGATTGGCTAGGAAGGGTCGGGAGGGAATGGCCCGATTTGTGAATTGAAAAAACTAAGGGGGGGGCGAGCGGGTAGAATTGGGGGGGTTACAGGCGGGGCGGGGGGGGAACATCACCACGGAGGTTTGAAAGGGGGGGGGGGTTTTGCACACCATGGTGTCAGGGGTCACTAGGGGGGGGGGCCACCGTGAAACAGGGGAGAATGTGGGGGGGGTGGTAATGGTGGTGCGTGGCAGCATCATGAGGTTATTTATGCATTGCAGTGTATCATGTTTGGGGATGCTTTTCTTCAGCAGAGACAGGGGACGTTGGTCAGAGTTGATGGAAGATGAATGGAACCAAATACAGGGAATCCTAGAAGAAAATCTGTTAAAGAGTCTGGCAAAGGACTTGAGACTGGGACGGAGGTTCACCTTCCAGCAGGACAATGACCCTAAACGTACATTCAGAGCTACAGTGGAATGGTTTAGATCAAAGCATATTCATGTGTTAGAATGGCCCAGTCAAAGTCCAGACCTAAATCCAATTGAGAATCTGTGGCAAGACATGAAAATTGCTGTTCACAGACATTCTACATCCAACCTGACAGAGCTTGAGCTATTTTTCAAAAAAGAATGGGCAAAAAGTTCACTCTCTAGATGTGCAAAGCTGGAAGAGACATACCCAAAAAGACTTGCAGCTGTAATTTCAGTGAAAGGTGGTTCTACAAAGTATAGACTCAGGGGGGGCGGAATACAAATGCAACACCACACTTTTCAGATATTTGTAAAAAATTTTGAAAACCATTTATCAATTTCCTTTCCACTTGACAATTATCGGGGACACTTTGTGTTGGTCAATTACTAGTAAAATCCCAATAAAAATACATTTACGTTCTGGTTGTAACATGACAAAATGTGGAAATATCAAGGGGTATGAATACTTTTTCAAGGCACTATGTCTCTCCTCGAAGATCCTTTCCAATGTGGCCTCTTCCTTCTGTATTAACTCCCCAAAACTTCCCTCAGAATATAACTCACATAATAAAGTGAAAAAAATCACCAAACTGTATTTCTTCACCACTGGTGTGCGTACTCTTCACAGTAACATGACCTCCAGATATGTGCAATAAAACATAGGGATCGTAGTGCAGTAATCCTTAAAAACTTGTGCTCCAGTAGAGTATGTGGAGGGAGCTGGAGATGAAGTGTCAAGAGGACCAAGAAACCAGTTGATGGTCTTAAGGGAGAAGCACACTAGTGGTGAAGAAATAAACAGTTTTGTCACTTTTTTATTATGTAAGTTATATTATGAGGGGAGGTTCTTAGTTTAAAGGCATACTACACTATATGTAAGTTTTCTGTTTTGGGGAATTAATGCAGAAGAAAGAGGCCACATTGGAAGGGATCTTGGAGGAAAGACATATGTATATTGTGGCAGGAAGTCCCCTTATTGAGGGTAAGGGTAAATAATAAGCTAGGTGGATGGTCAGCAATATCACGTGGTGAAGAGGTGTTTTTATGCGGTTTTTGCACTTTATAAAGTAAATGGAAGAATTTATTTTGGTGTCATAATAAATGGAAATTTACAACACTATATATACTTTTTTTTGTTATTTATTTACCTTGGGAGTACACACAGAATACCAAATGGAGATAAAGAAGAAAAGAATATAAGTTGATATACAAGGCTCAATTTCATCATCTGTTTGGTGACAGCATAATGAGAACATTATCATCTACATATGGAAATTTGGTTTTTCATATGCACTTTTTAAGGATCTTTGGATAGTGTTGTGACCACTCGTATTATGTAAATTATTTTTGTCTACCCAGGGGGTTAGTTTATTTCCAGCTGCTGGACAATTTAACACCTTTTGGGCGCTGTCTGGTTACTTTATATCATCTTCACTTACCCTTATTTCCCCAGCATCATCTGGAACCCGTATATCATTGTCCGACCCGCTGGATAATCGGGAGTAGAAGAGGTGAGGCTTTTTTTAGCTGAATTAAGACCGTAACCTGTTTGAGAAATTGTGACAGTAGGATGATCCCTGCTGAACCGCCCTTTATATCACATACCTAATTACCAAAGATAGACTGGTTTGCATCCACACAAATATAGAAAATATATTTAGTTTTAAATGTTTAATTTCAATTCAGTATGTACATATGTTACAGTATGTACTCCATAACAATGAGGCCTTGATGGCCACATGCAGAATATAATACAAAAATTTCACAAAAACCAATAAGAACTTCGTTACATTGTAACAATGTATGATATCCATTATAAAAGTACATTGGTGAACAGAATATTATACAGTCTTGACAATGTCAATGCGGCAATTTGATCTTGACTAAATACTGAGTATTTAAGGCACTTTGAGGCAAAGGTTCTTCAACATGTATTGTCAGTATTCATTCTATGGACAGCTACAGGGCAAAGCTCAATTAGAGGAGATGACTGGTGGCCAGACTTTAGATAAATCTTCATGTACAGCTTCGGGGATCCACTGACAAAAGGCATGTAGCAAATCTGTGGGTGAGAAAGCAGATGTTTTTCAGTTTTTTAAAAAAATAAGTTATGCAGAAGATATGCGCACACATTAAAATATACTATTGTACAGCAGTTTATTACAATAACTCAAAGGCTGGGAGCATGTCTACTTACATTTCGGGTCATTTTTCCATGCAGCCAGTAGTGAAGAACGGTTATCTGCATTCTCTGAAACCAAGGCCTTTAGTAACACTTCTGTTCTAGGTTGTAGTCTAAAGGGAATTAAAATGAAGTGTTATTTTTAAAAAAGAATGGTCTACATTGCAAGCACTAGCACTACTGTAACCATTTGATGAGCAAAAGCTTAAAGAAACTGAACTCATTACAGGCTTAGTGAAATAACCATTAAGTTTGGTAGCTACTATAAAAGTGTGTGTCTTGGCAAAGTGAAGAACAAAAAAAATGGATTTGGTGGAGCCTGAATCCACCGAGTCTGAGGGAGAGTGGAAGGATCCATGAGCATCACTGAAGTGACGCACCAACACTCATTCCCATGAGAGCTAGCAGAAAGACACCAGCCAGCCCTTTCCCCCTCTTCCTACACCGCAATGAGGCCTAAAACCGGAAGTCTCCAACTGTGAAGATGTCAGCCCCTCCGGGAATGACGTCTTGTGTCTTCCAGTCAAACAGCCCAGAACTCAGAGGTCCAGCTCCCATCCACAAGGAGGAGAGCTCCTTCTCCCCACCCTTGAACCAACCAGTGCCAGACATTTTGCTGGAGACAGCTGTCAAGAGGGGATTTTCACCACAGAACATGGTCCTCACCAGGCATTGAGAGTAGAGGAGCATCAGACCGATTTTTTTGTAAGAATTTATTTTTTTTAATTTTTAAATTAATATCAGTGTCAGTTAGTGGCAGGATAAAAAAAAAAAGCAAATTGTACACTATTGTTTGTGGGCCATACTAAGGGTACAAAAAACAACATACACATATGTGGTATTGCTGCGATCGTTAGGAACAGGTGAAATTATTTTGTGCTGTTCTTTGGTGGTTGGCTATGGTAGTAGCAAGAAATATACAACTAAATTTAAAAAAAAAATTTTGTTTACTATTTTGGGTCAGTTTTTTCTTTGATAATAATAAGAAAATCAGGAGATATCCATTACCATTTACCACCAAATGAAAGCCCAATTTGTCCTGAAAAAGACAAGGCATAATCCACCTAGATGTACAAAGTAGTTGTGATAATATGTACAGTTTTGCTAAAACATGTCAAAATTGCAAAATTGTGTCAGGCCTTAAGAATTGTTTTACCCTTAGGTGTGAAAGGGTTAAGGAACACAAAAGAGCCAGAAAGAATCAGTCTAGGCGATTTCAATCCTTGTAGGTAAAATCATCAAATGGGGATGATGTGTATCTTAATGCGGGTTATGTTTTGTGTTCCTTTTCTTTTCATATATAATAAATGAGAAATTCTCCACTATCCTCCATGATAAAATTCCACATGAAATGTTGTCCTTAACCAGGTCAAACGATATTGTGGGGGATTTCCACGACTTTGCTATTGCGATGTGGGCTGCTAAAAAGACAAAAAAAGATTGGCCTCCTCACATACCAGGGAGTCTCTAAACTTGGGCGTCTCAATAAGGCCTGCTGTGGGCTCTTTTTAAGATTCATGCCCGTTAATGAGTAAAGGAAATTGTAGATCCGAATCCAGAATCTACAGACTTTTGGACATTCCCACCAAATATACAGGAAAGAACCATCTTAGGAACAGCCTCTAAAGCAGTGTGAAAAGGCTCCAAGGACGTAAGAGTCTAATCTTGTTGGGACCATATACCATCAAAGTAACATTTTGTAGTTTGCTTCTATAAGTGAGGTATTAATGTATGTGCTGGATGCATTTCCCGCTCATTTGTGCCAATCCAATCCTCAAGATCCAAGTCCACTTTCAGGTTATGTTCCCATTTTAGCATATACTGTTGTTTGGAAGAAGATGACAGAGAAAATTACTGATATCAAACCAGATTTATGTCACATGAGCTACACAGAAATTCAAAGGCAATCCAGATAGAAGTATCCCCCCCAAGCGTAGTACTGATTTTAAGAAATTAAGTAGTTGCATGTAATGATAGACCTCTGCACCAGGGAGTTGGTGTCCCTCCCGTAACAACTGGAGCGAAAGAACCCTCCCCTTACACAGATGTCAGCAAAGCATTGCAATCCTTTATACCTCCACCATTTGAAGGATGCAGGGGTGAGGTCAGGGGTGAACAATGAGTTAGACAATATAGGAACAAGGGGGCTATTGGCTGATTGAAGATGATGAGATGTATTGAGTCTGTCCCACAAGCTCAATGAAAAGGAAAGGGTGGGGCAAAGAACAAGCAGTCTTGTTTTAGACTGTAGCCACATCAGGCTAGAAGACCTGTGGGACGTGGCTGTGCCCTCTATGGACATTCAAGGCATCAATGTTTTGCTAGTAAGAAAGTGAGCCAACTGGGCCATTTGTGCAGCTTGAAATTAATTCCAGAGGTCCGGGACCCCCAGGCCACATCTCATTTTAGGTGTGAAGAGCATCTGTCTGTTCACCCTGGGTCTCTTGTCCTCCCAGATAAATTTAAGTAGTTTCTGCTCGAACATGGTAAGATCTGAGTTATATATGGTTATCAGAGGAAATACAGTATCCGGGGCAAAACATTCATTTTGACAGTATGCAACCTACCAAACCATTAGAGGGGCCCTATAGACCATCTGGTCAAGTCAGCTATCAAATTTTTGTATAACGGGGGGGGGGGGGGGGGGAGTAGTTATGTTGATATAAAGTAGCAATGTTTTTCTTTTAAGAAGAAACCATCACTTTTGCTAACATGTGTTTCGTCTGTTAAAGTAAGCTTTTCCTGGTTACTTGATGGCACCACATATTTGCAGCTCCACTCAGCATCTGCACTTCAGAGCTGGGTTCCTCGGGGAACCGCTGTATGTGCTTCCTGGTGCAGGTGTACAGGCAGGCTGGGGCTTTTGGAAGACCAGATAGATTAAACATGCCTGAAGAAAATTCTGCTGTAGGATTGTCTGTACAGTAGCAAAGGCTTCTACACAGCAGCATACAGAGGGCATTGGCTCAGAAATCACATCCAGAGAAAGTTATTTGATAAGACAACATCGGTTGGGTGGAGCCAGAAAAGATACTAAAAAGGAAGAGGCACTCCTGCGTGCACTCACTCCTGTAAATTACGTGTTCAGCAGATCCCAGCCAAAACAAAATGATGACGCTTAAAGTACAGTTACACCACAGTGGAGCAGATAGGAGGCGCCGGACTGGACCTGACTTCACCGCCAGCAAAATCCGATGTGCATGGTTACGTGCAGGGGCGGACTGACCATTTGGAAACCCGGGCACTGCCCGAGGGCCCGGGATCAGTAGGGGGCCCCATGAGATGCCCCTGGTACCTTTTTCATAGGCTTTTTTGAGTTTGGGCAAAGACACAGGGGCCCCATGATCCCTTATTGCCCGGGGGCCCCATGAGTTGTCAGTCCCCCTGGTTACGTGATTCAGAGTGCTGAGGCTGCTTTCTCAAACCATGTTCATGCCATAGACATTTCATGTTTATTTCTATGAAGGAAGTTACACACACAGCCCATATACAAAAAAGGGGAAAATTTCCTTGGTTAATCATAGCCTGATAGCCATTACCAGATATAGGAATAGGTGTACTTTCGCAGGTCTGGTTACAATAAATCTGCAGAGAATCCACAGATATACTAGCTTTACCTAAATAGCAGAGTCCTGTGTAAACTGAAACACAGACCAGTGGTCACTGCTGACCTCAGGGCCATCACAAAAGAGAACTCCAGTATACTTAAGGAAGTTGGAAAATCTGCATTTGTAGGCTAAATGAAATTAGGCTTACATCTACCAGTAGATGTCGAAAGTAGAAAATTCTTCAAAATAAAGCCAGACAATATAAAGAAAGGAAAATTATATCCATTGTCCTATCCTAAGGACACTAGACAAAACTGAGCAGTGGTTATAGCACCAAGTTGGCCCTTAGTTATCTATGTGCCTAATGTCAATTTCTCCTGTAGGCAACAGTATAACCTATATAGCTTAATCACTTGGCAACCGTGCTATAGCCGATTGATGGCTACAGCATGGTTGTCCAGTCCTGGGAGGGCGTCATATGATATTCTCCTAGAACGCGCCCTCCCGCATGCCTCCCGGCGATCTCCATGATCGCTGTGTCCTACAGGCACAGCTGATCACGTGGTGTGGTAAAAGGCCAATCACAGCGGCCTTTTACCACGTGATCAGCCTTGTCCAATGACACAGCAGATCACCGGTAAATGCAGTTGCCAGTTATCGGCTGCACTTTCCTCACGCTGTCACAGAGTGAGGAAAGTACTGCCGATAACCGGAAATTGTCAGAGGACGGATCGGCACGGATGATCAGTGCCCTGATGAACGGTGCCCAGCAGTGCCACCCACCTGTGCCCAGCAACGTCGCCCACAAGTGCCCTTCAGTGCCACCCACCTGTGCCAATCAGTGCCTAGTAGTGCCACCCACCTTTGCCCAGCAGTGCCACCCATCAGTGCCCAACAGTGCCGCCAGTCAGTGCCCATCATTGTTACATATCAGTGCAGCATCATTAGTACCGCCTATCAGTGCTGCCTATCCATGCCACCTCATCAGAGCCCATCAGTGCTGCCTACCAGTGCCCATCAGTGCTGCCTACCAGTGCCACCTCATCAACACACATCAGTGAAGGCTAAAAAGTACCTGTTTGCAAAATTTTATAATAGAAAACAAAAGAAAAAATAATTTTTTTTTTCAAAATTTTTTGCTCTATTTTTGTTTATAGCGCAAAAAAAATAAAAACACCCAGCAGCAAATAAATACCACCAAAAGAAAGCTCTATTTATGTGAAAAAAATTATGTAAACTTTATATGGGTACAGTGTTGCATGACCACGCAATTGTCATTCAAAGTGCGACAGCGCTGAAAGCTGAAAATTGGCCTGGGCAGGAAGGGGGTAAAAGTGCCCAGTAGGCAAGTGGTTAATTATCATCAAGCTCTGTCATTTAATGCAGAATAGAGAAAAGTAAATTGCTCAGCAACTCTGCTATAAATTGAGCTAAAAATCGCTGTCACTCAGACCATTCATGTTTCCTATCAAGAAAACATTAAAGAGAGTGGTTCTGTAGCATGTCATATATCACTACTACAAAATACCTTGTGATATGGCCCTTGTGTGTCTGCTACCAAACTTTGGTAAGTACAACTTCAAAAAAAAAAAAAAAAAAAAGGTAATATCTATTGCAAGCAATAAAGCATGGTTGATAATATAGTGTAAACTACTGTGGCAAAACAGAACTGACATCTGTGGTTATTTGTGAGTAAATATTACTTACTTGGCCCATGACTTAAGCATGGTTGTGGGGCTTGACAAGAGAATTTTGGTGTAGGAGCCCAACTTTTTTACCACCTATAACAAAACATGGCAGTTATTATTTACACAACAAACAATTTTTTCACGATGTCAGAACAAAAATTGACTAAAATTGCAAACTCATCCCATATACCAACTAACATAACTTGACGTAAACACATTCCCTACCTGTACAGTGTATTCCACCACTGTGCATGCTAACCAGGGCCACGGGTACTCTGCTTGTAACCCAGAGGCCCAAACAGTTTTGCCCAGGAATAAGTGTTCCAGAAAATGCCTGTCATGTAAAATTCTTAATCCTCACATGTACTTTGTCTTTCCTATTCAAGTACTATCATTACTGTAGTTAAAGCAGGACTTCAAGCAAAAAAAAAAAAAGCCTATTAAAAGAATAAAAAAAGTTTTACTGCAAAATTTACTTTCACCCCGGAACTGTCCCCCACAGTACTTTTTTCACCATTATTCTCAGTCTTCAGGGTGAAATGATGACTAGCATAATTCAACCCACTCCCTCTGAGTCCAGGTTGTCATGGATCCACCCCTAGATTTTGAATAGCCAGTGAAGGTGAAATCCTTCCTGTCACTCTGCTTTCTGGTCCTATAAGCATGCCCCTTTTTGGTTAATGAAATGCTTCTTATACTGCTTCTTCCTTTTCCACTCTGAGCTTTGCTGTACAGGGACAGCAGTAGGCTAATACTAGGACAAATTTAGGTACTTGCACTGCTTGCATTAAAAAAAATGCACATATTAAAAACACACATTTTTGGACTAAGATTATCGAAAACCCTTAAAACATAAATTTTATGAAAGCAGAGGCCATGAAAAAAAATGATGGTAATTGTAATTACAGTGCCCTGAAAAAGTATTCCTCACCCTTGAAATTTTCCACATTTTGTCATGCTACAACCAAAAATTTAAATATTTTTTATTTGGATTTTATGTGACAGACCAACACAAAGTGGCACATAATTGTGAAGTGGAAGGAAAATGATAAATGGTTAACATTTTTACAAATAATTATCTGAAAAGTGTGGCGTGCACATGTATTCAGCAACCCCTTTTACTCTGATATCCCTAACTAAAATCTAGTGGAACCAATTGCCTTCAGAAGGCACCGAATTAGTAAATAGAGTCCACCTGTGTGTAATTTATGCTCAGTATAAATACAGCTGTTCTGTGAAGTGCTCAGAGGTTTGTTGGCAGGGGCATAGATAAGGGGTGGGGTCAAGAACCCCCCTGCAGCCCACAATCCACTTGCCCGTGAGTGGAAACAAGGTGGGGGCGGCGAGCAGTGCTGGGACTAGGGGTGTGTGGGAGGGGTGGAAGTGGTGACAAGCAGCAATCTCCTGTATGGCTTTCAATAAAGCAGCTGGAAGCTGCGGGAGGGAGAGGAGAAGAAGCGGCTTCCAGCTGAAAGCCATACAGGAGATCGCTGCTCGTCACCACCCCCACTGCTGCACAGAGCATACCTGATGGTTCGGTTTTCTTTCCGCCCCTCCCTCCTTTCCACTCATCCACCCCTTCCTTCCAGCCACCCCTTCTTTCCACCTACCCCTTCCTTCCAGCCACCCCTCCCTCCCTTCCATCATCCACCCCTCCCTTCCACCCACCCCTACCTTCCTCCCTTCGTTTCTTCCAGACACCGCTCCCTCCCTTCCACACACCCCTCCCTTCCTTCCACCAACCCACCTCTCCCTTCCACCCACTCCTTCCTTCCTGAAGAAGGTGCTCTGTTCGGATGAGACCAAAATTGAACTTTTTGGCCTAAAAGCAAAACGCTCTGTGTGGTGGAAAACTAACACTGCACATCACCCTTTATACACCATGAAACATGGTGCGGGGAGCATTATGTTGTGCGGATGCTTTTCTTCAGGAGGACAGGGAAGCTGGTCAGAGTTGATGGGAAGATGGATGGAGCCAAATACAGGGCAATCTTAGAAGAAAACCTGTTAGAGTCTGCAAAAGACTTGAGACTGGAGCACAAGTTCCCCTCCAAGCAGGACAACGACCCTAAACATACAGCCAGAGCTACAATGGAATGGTTTAGATCAAAGCATATTCATGTGTTAGAATGGCCCAGTCAAAGTCCAGACCTAAATCCAATTGACAATCTGTGGCAAGACTTGAAAATTGCTGTTCCCAGATGCTCGCCATCCAATCTGACAGAGCTTGAACTAAATTGAAAAGAAGAATGGGCAAAAATTTTACTCTAAATGTGCAAAGCTGGTAGAGACATCCCCAAAAAGACTTGCAGCCGTAATTGCAGCAAAAGGTGGTTCTACTCAGGGGGACTGAATATGCGCCACACTCTTCATATATTTATTTGTACAAAATGTTGAAAAACATTTACCCTTTTCCTTCCACTTCAATTATGTGCCACTTTGTGTTGGTCTATCACATAAAATCCCAATAAAATACTTTTACGTTTTTTGGTTGTAACATGATAAAACGTAGAAATTTTCAAGGGGTACGGATACTTTTTCAAGGCAGTGTATTTCTGCTTTAATTTCAAATATCTCCAAGGTCCACCAAAGTGGATGGCATGCCAGAGGCCTTGGTGCAATACTAATATGGATCATGTATCATTACAAGCCAGTATTCTAGGTGGCGTCCACGGTATGGGTGTCTGCTTTTGTCTTTGCACATTCACAATTATCTTAGCATTTTCAAAGCTAGGTAGTGCCCCCTCTATGACAAGTGCATGCTTTACTAGTTGTGAAGCTGAGTGACATCATTGCATGGACACCATCCTGGGACGTGTTGTGCATGCTGGAGTGTAAGCTGAGAACCTGCCTATTGTAAAGCAGGTCATGTTCAGAATCATATTAGGGGAAGCCATCTGATGTCTCCTTCTCTCAGATACTATCCCCAAATGTGGTCAGTAGTATGGGGTATAGGTGAGGTTTGGATGATAATTTTAAGCACCAAGGATATCTTTTACTGTTTGCCGGTCCCCCTAACTTGCTGCTGACCTTACCCTGTGTCCTCTGCTCTCTGTTCTAATAGATCCTCCCCACAGGCACCCTGTTATTTACGTTTTGGTGGATTCTTTTGAGATTTACCTATTTGGTCTTTTGATCCTCTGTTGCTTGAAACAGTCCACAGTGCAAAGATAGGGGGACATACCAGAACTGGCTTTTACTAAATTCAATTTTTGTAAGTAATGCTTACAGTAATAAAATTCCCCAAGAATAGTGCTGCGCTGCTTACAGTGCATTCACAAAGTATTCAGACCCCCTTCACTTTTTCCAGTTTTGTTATGTTGCAGCCTGATACTATAGTTGATTAAATAAATTTTTCTTCTCTCACAGAGTGTGACAGATCGTGTTGCAGCACGCCCCATGGTGCGCACACGAGGCACGATCGTGGGAAGGCATTATATGACATCCACCCAGGATGGCAGCTTTCCCGCACGGCCATTATATTATGATAATGGATGGGCAAGAAGTGGTTAAGGAGATACCTGTCATCTATTAGACTCCTTATAACAAACTGCACTCTTCCTAAACATATGAAGCAAAAACTGTGCTCAATCTGCTGCTTTTCTGGCTGCAGCAGCTGGGATTTGACAACTCTGAACCCAGAAGTGCTGAAAGTGAAGCGTTTCTGGGATCAAACAGCAAGATTAGTAAATAGAGGTAAGACCTTGCAAATAGCTGTCTGAAACTACTATATAGTCCACAGCCAAGAGAAGAAAATGAAAACAATCTCCCACCTGCTAGAGCAGCTGAGAGTTTGTTTACATGCTGGTACGGTTGCCTTCATAATACTTAAAGAAGCAAAAGGGTTAAAGGTGAATTAAATAATACAAAACATCATTAGTTTGTGTCTTTTATATCTGCCTGGAGATTGGCTTTAGCAAATTTAGACACTTACTCCACAACTGTAATCCATAAAAGCCCTCATCTATTTTTTAAACTTGACAGCAATTACATTTTTTTAACAAGATTTACTATTATAATTATTAATATTCTATAGTTATTAGCCCCCTACATAAAATCACTTTTTGCCTGTATCACTTTTTGCCTGGGTATTCTCCTAGACCTTCTTGACAGCTATCATGTTCACTTGACTATGCAAGCTCTAAACACCCAAAAACACACTAAGGAGATTCATTACAGATAGATGTACAATACAGAAAAAGTGTACAATATTCCCAAAAGGACAGAATTAAATACCCAACTAAAAATGGCTAAGGCTATACCTAAGCCAGTAAAAGGATGTGGCTTGTAAAGTTGGGATTTGTGTTTTATGAGGATAGGGTACATCTGGAAGAGAGATTTCTGATATCCATACAACATCCTCAACATAATTCAAAAATAATAATTCAGTTCTGTATAAATTCTGTGTATGTGAAAAGATATCCAAATATGAAGCCTGAGTTCTACTTTCCTGTATGTGTGTTTAACACTTGTGCCTGTGCTCGCTTGTAAATGTGAATAGTAATAAGTAGCTGTAGGCGAATGGAGAAGAGAGAAGTAATTTTTTTGCACCCAAACAGAAACATTCTTGTTTCACCCCAATTCTGTCGTCTTGTACAACTATGTTAATGTCTAGTCATACCTTTCCTTCCAACAAAAACTTGGCAAAATATCTGTAACGATCTAAGCCATCTGGATAATCAATAAGCACAGCAGGCAACTGCCATCCAACTCGATCTAGAGGATAGAGCATTACAGAGTAAGATTAGAAGATAATATCTGCAGAGGTAATCTTAACTGAAGTTCTATAATCATAAAATTTAGCAGCCTAACAGTCAGAGGTTAACTTCATGCAAGCCTTATATTGCGCACTGAGGGCAAAAACTGATTTTCATAATTTAACTTCACAAGAGAAATTACATTAGATCTTTACAGTATACTGCAACTCATCCAATAAATAATACATTTAAAAGGTTGTCCACTGGCTTCCCATTGCCCAACGGATAAAATTCAAAACATTCACAAAATAACATATAAAGCCATTTATAACTCTGCCCCAAATTACATCACCAATCTTGTCTCCAAATATCACCCAAACCGTACTCTCCGCTCCTCACATGACCTCCTACTCTCTAGCTCCCTTGTCTCCTCCTCCCATGCTCGTCTCCAGGACTTCTCCAGAGCTTCCCCATCCTTCCCCTTCTGGAACTCTCTACCCAAATCTATCAGACTATCGCCTACTCTGCTCACTTTTAGGCGATCTTTGAAAACCTCTCTCTTCAGGGAAGCCTATCCTGCCCTCAGCTAATAATGGAATCTTCTATTCCTCCTACCAGTCCATCCCCCACAGTTATTACCTTTTGTACCACCAGCCCCTCCCTCTTAGATTGTAAGCTCCAAGGACCCTCTTGTATTCAACTGTATTGTCTCCCGTTATACTGTAAAGTGCTGAGAAAACTGTTGGCGCTATATAAATCCTGTATAATGCCAGATGGCAGTGAGTGAACTCTTTTTGCTTTGAATTTCATTAGCTCCAATGTTAGTAGTATTACGGCCAAACTGAATGTGCAAAATCTAAACTGTATGTATATATGTGACACAGCATGTTAGCAAGTAAATCTCAGAAAGTATTTTGCAATATACATACAGAAAGTACTAGTCCTGTGACATTTTACTCTTCCTGTTTCTGCAGAATAAAATGGTGGAGGGTCTTCCAGAGGGTCTGCAAAGTGACAGTATTGTGGAAGCAAAGCAGGAATCCACTCAGACTCTATGGATGAAACACCTGCAATAATAGCACAATGCATTAGAAGTGTAATTACATAAAGCCACCTATGAACATCTTTTTTTATCAAAATAAATGTTGAATCTAGAAGCAGTTTTATGGACATTGTTTAATGTGTGTGTGATAGTGTTGGACTGTTAGACTGATAGATGTGGATATACAATGGAGTTAGTCTTCTTTCAAAGGAGCTGATCCACAATAACTGTATAGTGTATTCGAACCTTGTTCTTGTCCTAGGCTGCTACCTCTTTGACTGTGACAAAAAGAGCATTCAGTAAATGATAAACTCTGGGGTGGGTAATGAGAACAAAAGTTCATGTCACCGAAAGGTCTTTTTCAAACATTTATTGGTTAGGGACATCTAATACAACTAATGTGTTTCAGGGGAAAGGTGCAAATTTCAACTTCCAGCTAAAGAATGGACAGGTAGCTCTGGACACAGATTATCTGCAATCAGTGCTGTGCGCTCATTTCTTTATGTATGTAAAAAGTGGCATGCGTGTTAAGATTCATACAGTGACTGCATTTCTCAGTGTGATATTGATTTTGACAGACTGGTTGCACAGAGATAAACACATCCCTCCACACAGAGGTATGGGTCTATACTCCCATGTGGATGAAGCCTAAAGGTACCAAAGATATTATGAAAATCAACAAATTAATCCTTTAAAAATAGTCCATAGTATATGGTTATACTTTTCTATAGAGACACATCTATTAGATGGCTGCACCCTTTGCATCATATTTTATTTATACATCTAAGACACAGAAACAATAAATGCCTAGATCATACCACACCTTTCATGTACATCTTTGTTGTTTCAAAAATTTCCTGGTAAACTACAAAATCAGGAAGTTGCTTGAATAGTGAAGAGTTTGGATGGATGAACACTGGATCTTCAAGAAGAGGAGTCTGCAGATGTAAATAAAATACAGACTTAAGAAAAAAATTATGATTATGATTTTTTAGTAATATTCTGCAGAACCATTTTTCATTTCTACTTTAAAATGTGTTTGCAATAACGTTATTATCAAGCAAACTTTACACATAGATATACAGAATAAAGGGGAAAAAAAAGGAACAGCTTCATTACTGCAGCACTAGTATGCTGCTTGGGAGTCAGAATGCCAGCTCCCATTTAAAGCAGAATTATGGCCCCCATTGAAAAATACGTGTTGCAGAACCCAATTATAAATGTATTTGCACTCACAGTTTACTCTTAGTTCTTCAGCAAAGTCCCAAGATACCTGTTGATCCTGCTAGTAAAATGCACCTTATGCAGATTCCCGTGATGGTGTGCAACAATGCTGCACTGTTCCTGCATTTAGAGCAGAGTTACCTCTCTCAAATAGGCTCTCCTTGCTTGAACTACAGTAGGATGAGATGATATAGGGAGGAGGAGGGGGACCTTGCGGGTGTTGCAGGATTTCAATCCATAGCGGCATATTGTGTTACTAATGGTTTGTTTGGTGACTGTTGTCCCAAATGCTTTGAGATCATTCTCAAGCTGCTCCTGTGTAGTTCTGGGCTGATTCCTCACTTTTCTCATGATCACCCTTACCCCATGAGGTGAAATGTTGCATGGAGTTCCAGACCGAGGACGACTGATGATTATTTTGTATTTCATCCAGTTGTCTCCTTCTCACCAAGCTTCTTACTTACGGCCTTGCAGCCCTTTACAGTTTTGTGCAGGTCTACAATGTTGTCCCTGACATTCTTTGGCCTTGCCCATGGTGGTGCCCAACAAAAGAGATTCTGTGGACAGGTGTCTTTTATACACATAAGTTGTCGTTAGGAGCACCTTCTTAAATTGATAGGACTAATCTGTGTACCACATGAGCACATAGCCAGTCTATGGGAGCCAGAATTATTTTTGGCTGGTAGGGGATCAAATACTTATTATACTCAGTGAACTGCAACTCAATTTACAACATTTGCATCATGTGTTTTTTTTACTGGATTTTTGGTTGATATTCTGTCTCGATTATTTAAAATACAACTATGATAAAAATGATAGACCCTTCATTTCTTTGTAAGTGGGCACACTTAGAAAATCTGCAGGGGATCAAATAATTATTTTCCCCACTGTAGTAACTGGATTGGCTACTTATAAAGATTGTCACACAGGAGCCTTTAGTTAGTTAGTTAGATAGGTAATTTTAGTTAGCCAAGAGTTCTCACACAGGTATTTTGCTCACAAGTGGGTTCATCTGGCCCAAAATGTGTTCACAGCATATGCAGTCATCTCGGTGTGATGTCTGCTATTGATGTTATGCCCTTTTTGGAGTGTGCTTCTATGAGTGCATTTTCAATGATCTATGTGTATGTTTATGTGCATGGCAGCCAGGTGGTTTATCCCTCTTGGGTCTATGTTTCAGGATCCAAAAGCCAAGTGTGCCAGTTGTAGGAACCTATATATATTAAAGCAAAGCTCCAGTTACAACATAAAAAACCCAGCAGCTACAGAAACTGTAGCTGCTGACTTTAAAAAAAAAAAAAAGAAAAAAAAAAAAAAAAGGACTCTCACCTGTCCCTCGATCCCAGTGTCCTCACTGCTGCCAGTTTCACCGGCTGTCCTCTCACCCTGACGCCGGCATCTTCAATGTGGGCACCCAGCTGTGAATGGTCCCATAGTTTTCTGGGAGCTGTCATGTGTTCCCAGAATACTACAGGGAGGGGGACAACGTCCGATCGTAGCACCAGTGGGAGGAGTGGGTACCTGTCAAAATTGGGTACTCGTTCGACCCACCCCGCTCCCCAAAGGTGCCAATCCTTAACGGGGAGTGGGGAACCAAGCCTTAAAGCGGAACTTCCCCTTTTGGGTGGAGCTCCACTTTAACACTTGTTTGATTTATCATCAATGTCCAGCTCATTTCCACCTCAGAATTTCATTACATTACATTTTTGACTTTGCTGGGTGTTCATTTGCTAGGCCATTGGTTCTTTTGAGATTGTTCTCATATTAGCATTCCAGCAAGTTCATTATATTGCCTTATGTAATCCTATATTGGTATTCTTTAGGATTCTGCATGGAGAGGAACTTATGAGTAATCCAATTAATTAAATTTTTTATGCATTCCATTTAACTTTATATATTGAGTAAGTTTCTGGAGTATTTTGACTGAAACCATAGTTTTTTTATTATAAGTATTTGCTTTGTTGATTATTACTGTGTTTGCTGTTCTACACATCAGTATGTGTCAGTGTGTGACAGTGTCTGTGAGCTGAAGCTGTTGCATGAAATGCAATGTAATACAGCAGATTCAGGTTCTCCATCCTTGCAGTGTGGGTCATTTTCAGGCTGGGTTCAATCAGGCTGTCAGCACCTTTCTTCTTCCCTGGATGCTGGCTTTTACAGAGAAAGCAAGTCAAGTATGCATACACTGATCCATGCTGTGAACCTTGCACTGTGATGACAATTCTCAGCATTGTAAGTGCAATTCTGTTTTTTTTTTCTACTTTTGTTAATAAATTGTTTTACCTGCACTATCCAGTGTGCTTTGCATGTTCTTTAGACACAGTTTCGACACTTCCCTAGTGTTTTTAAAGCAGAGCTGCAAAGACTGTGTAGATTACCTATACTACTATCGTTTACTATTATGACCTGCTTTTGTCCATGCCTTATCTGATTCAGGATTGGTGGCTATTATTTGTGATTTGTATTCTACCAGTGGGTCATTGGGAGCCATCAGCTGTGAGTTGCACACCCTGTGTGTTTATTTTAGTTCCTGAATTGAATTTTACAAAAAAACTACAGCATCTGCAGACTGAAAAGGAAAGGTCATTTTTATTAACCATTAAATTATAATATGGATTGTGCAACAGTTGCATACGCTATATTTTTTGTTTGCTATATTTTTTATTTGCTATATTTTTTTTTCACAAAAGTGGAGTTACCTAAGCCTAGGCAGAGAGATGAGGGACATTCTAGAGACTTGGCGAATTACATCCTCTAGAGCACAGGTGTCAGACACAAGGCTTGTGGGCCTAATCCGGCCCTCCAGGCCATTTCCTGTGGCGCTTGCACCTCTCCAAGTACTCCCTTGTCTCTGCCCCCACCTTGTCTCAGCAGTCGGCAGCAGAGAGAACAGAACTCCTCTGCCAAATCCTGCACCTCCCAGTGCAGCTGCAGCACCCCCTCATCTCTGCCTCCCCTGGTCTCGGCATTCAGCAGACTCTGGTAACTGACTCTACTCCTCATCTGGTCCTCCTAAAAACCCTGCACGTTATGCTTTCCAGCTCTGCCCCCAAAGGGGGTGCATGGTGATGTTAGGGAGGGTGTGGGATTCTTGATATGTGATGTAATGGGTCGGGTGCTCTGGATATCTAATCTTACAGATACAACCTGCCCTTTGAGGGCAACCATAATGCTGATACGGCCCGCAATGAAATGCAGTTTGACACCCCTGGTCTAGAGCATCAACACAAAACACTAATGCTGAGGCCATCAGTTGAATTTGTCCTAAAAGAGCAGGGTCCTCCAAAAAAAATGTGTGGTCTCTTCATTTGTATTATCCATTTAGCAATAGTCTGGAAAATAAACATGGCAGTAATAGCTGGGTGAAGGGTAGAACCTAGAAGGGCAAAGAAGACCTTTAAGAGGGGTTCCAGACGCCTATCAACAGAATCCTTAAAAGAAAGAACATCCTCAATAGGAACTGTATGGTGTTTATTGAGAATTGAGATGTCAGGATCCACTAATGCAATACCCCATTTCTTTTAAATAAAGGCAAGTGCTGTACGGAAAAGACATGTGCGCACAGCACCAATTGGTGTGTCCAAAGTAGAAAACATTTGGTGCCAAGTCATAGCTTCTATCTCATAAATTGCAAGGGTAAAGAAAATCCTCTGTGGTCTCTGCTACAAAATAGGGTCCTCAATTTCCTCAAGTAAAGGAGATTCCACATTTGAATTCTCAACAGGGCCAGGGGGGAATAGAATTTGGGTAGCGTTTGTGGCCGCTGGAAACTGAAGGTTCTACAAGTGACAAGAGTTTTCCAAGGAATTCAGACATAGTTGCAGGGAAATCACCAAAATTGAATTGCTTGCGATGAGAAATGCTAGAAACAATATGGCAGGGATTACCACAATAAAGTGAATTTCTCCCTAATCCTCTGCCTACAAAATGGCACTTTGCTATGTATTGAGGATCATGTTACTAAGAGCCCAGGTCTGTCACAGTGGGCATACCCCCCAAAGGGGTCTACACGGTCTGGGAAGCTAAGACATGGGTCACAGCCCTGGGCCTGTATAGCATTCCACAGCCAGCTACACAAGTGCCACCAACGTGCCAAGGTGAGCACTTAACACAGGTTCTGTAACTCAAAGCAAACATTACAAGCTGGCCCCAACTAGTGGAGTCCAGGTACAGTCCCCAAGGTACACATTGAGAGTGACCGATCAAGAAACTGCTAGCTAGCCATAGGCAGTGATATCCTGATAGAAGCTTCTGAGGAAAAAAATGAATACTTCTCTAGGGGAGAACAGGTTCATTACCAAAGTACACTAACAAAAAAACTACAGCTTCATAAAGTGGGCAGGGTTATAAAAGTGGGCTCTAGGGTCGACTCCAGCAAGTTTTTTTGCCAGTGTCAATTCACCTAAAAGTAGCCTGCATATAATCCTCTCTGAATACCAGTCCTTTGTCCTGTACTGCACAATTAAGATAAGAGGATCAAGGCCTCAACAATACCTTATCTTGGTAAAGACCAAGAATGGCTGTGTGCAGGAGAGCGCAGCCAGCTCTGGGACCCAAGCTATGTGCCGTTATGTTTGGGCAACGAAACCTTCCTTTTTTTGGCCAGTGTCGATTCAATTGAATGTAGCAGCATAACCCTACGGTCATAAATTTGGAGATGCCCCATGTCCAATAATGTACGATTAATATATTCATTGTTACTTAAAAAATTGGTTACTCACAAATATTAAAATACATAATGGGGTTGCTTTACTAAAAGGCAATTATACTGTTACAAGGGAATTTTGCACTAGCTTAGTGAATGAAGTTGAAGCTCTACTGACTTTGATTATCCAGTCACGTTAAATAAATAATATTTATTTTGGGTTTTTTTTTTTCATGAGATTGGGTAGTCTTTACAAAGTGCTGGAATGCACGCTGCTCAGATGGAACGCAAACTGTAAGTGACGTGAGCGTGGGCAGTAACGCGTTTCAGAGCATGCGCAACACTCCTTCAAGACTGTCACGTCACTGGACAGCGTGCATTCTAGAGTGTGCTCCAGCATTCCCGGAAGAGTGGTGGCCATTTTGGCACCTCACCCTGAGCTCCCCCTGCAGCTGCTGGCCGGTACAGTGATTTGCTATACAGTGGAAAAAGCCCCGTATATTGACAAAACCTTTTATAAGCCTGTTATTTCTTCCATCCGGTAAGTGTTTTTAACCATACTTATTAAAGCCTATTTCGATTTATTGCACTTAGAAACACCTTCTTGTCTCTTCTCTCCTTCACCCACAGTCTGCTTCATACTCTTAGAAGTACTGCCCAGTGAATGTCTCCATTCCACCACAAACCACTGGCTGTCATCTCATCCACTGTCTCCTTTACAGATGCGCCCTATGAACTTTTCCTTTTGTGACACATTCACTAAGCTGAGGGGAAATTCCCTTGCAAAGTGAAGAGCCTATTAACCTTTAGTAAATCAACCCCGATATGTTGATCTACAGATTTAGTGACCTGCCTATCTGGGACTTCCCCCTGCTCTAGTGTTTTGGAGAAATTCTAGAAGCAGTGGGAGGGAGTAAGGAGTGGCTGGTCTGCTCTCTCAGGGGATCCTGGCCAATCACCAACAGAAGGCTTGGCATGGGGCCAGGACATCCCTTAAGAGTGAAAGAGCCTAGTCGGCAGCAGGAGAGTTTGGGTGGAAGATGGAGAAGTGACAGCTGGACAGCAGGAGCCTGGGAGGGGGGCCAATGTACAGGCAGAGGAGATGGAAAGGAGGAAATCTCAACACCTCATTGGCCCCCAGAGTGAGGACCATTTATGCAGCAGGGATGGAGCAGCCCAGCAGAAGACCTGAGTGCAGCCACCGAGCCATCAGCTTATAGGAGGAGGACTGAGTGAGTAGACCTACACCCCCTGGGCCAGTAAGGGGAAGCACTCTGGTGGGAAATTGGATTAGCTGCTACCTAGGACGGTCTTCTCTTAAAGTGACAGGAATTGGATCCCCTGCCAAGGGATTCACCCAGAGTAGCTGGATAGAGGAGTATCTGGGGTGGTACAACAGGAGATGCTAGTTAGCTCTCCAGAAAACATTTTTTTTTTTTTGCTGTAAATAGACTTGTATATAGTTCCAGGAAGTTTGTCCTCTGTTGCCATTCCTTTGGGTATCTCATACACCACCCTCCCCATCCAAGTTTATATCCCCCTAATAAAATACAAAAAATCAAACTCAGGGACTGGTTACAGTCTCCTGGATGCAAGTCTGAATGGAAAATGTGTGTTGCCTGGCTGTGCAGGACTACAGGGGGACCCAAAACTCATCAACTCCTAGAGGGGTAGTGCTACACATGGACAGAACACAGTTATGAAGAACTAGATGTACCTACCTTATAAGCATTCCTCCACTTATCATTGAGCAGCTCTTCTGGGCGAATCCGCCGAGCAATGTGATCCGCTAAACCAGACATCACAATCTGCCTCAAATAGTTCACTTGGTTTTCTGTAGGTGGTGGCATCTTAGAATCAAGGAATATGGTGACATCAGGGCACAGTGAATTGACTAGAGAAAGAAGCAGATGTTATGAACGCTTTTAAAGACACACTGATTACTAATTTATCTTCAGTGAATTTGTGTGCAGCTTACCAGCAGTGGTAAGTTGTCCTCTTAAACGTCTTATCTCCAGCATGGCTTTAAACCTGAGGCCATTACGTTCACAGAATTTGGGAGTCAGACCTGAATATTCACAAGCACCTACGGCACCTGAGTGAGAAATGAGACACACACTATTATTTGTAATCTAAAAGATACAGAATGATTCCACTATTAAATCATCACTTTGCATCAAACAAAAGACAAAAACATGATTTTTTTTTTTTGTTACTTTTTGTTGTAAATTCCCTTTCTCAGTTCATTGGCAGACACAGCTCTTCTGATTCTCGACCATATGGTTATAGCACCACCTATAGGAGTAGGACACTAGGCAGAAAAAGAAACACAGCACCACCTATGGGCAGTCCTAGAGGGGTGGGTGCTCTGTCTGTCAACGAACTCAGACAAAGGGATTTTATGCCAAACAACAGAAAAAATCCCTTTTCTTTTACGTTTATTGATAGACACAGCTCTTCTGATTCTCGATCATAGGGAAATCCCAAAGCAGTGCCTCAATGAGGGGTGGGCGAACCACAAAACAGCTGTAGCAATCAGGCAAACTGCCCAAAACAACCCCAAAGGGGCAACATGTAACCCTAAGCGCCAAGGGTGTGGCCTTCCTGTGACGTCACTACTCATGCTGATGCACGTGTCCGGATCACGTGATCGCGCTATTACCATCTTGAATGCGGGCTGGCTGGTGAGACACAGGATGCAGAGACTGGAGCTCTGATATAACAAAACGCCTTGTTTTTATTTGCTCATTGTGAGTGTGATTTTAAGGGGGGTTTGTTTGGCAATAAATTTGTTGGATGATACTACACTATGGCGAGTATTTTCTTTACCCACATGTGCTAATCTGGATATGAGAGGATCGTCTCTGGAGTTTGTTTGGTGATATGCTGGATACATAGTAGTATGCTGAGTAATTACCAACACATGAGGATCGTCCTTTGAAGTCTGTTTGGTGAATGCTGGATATATACTAAAATGCTGGTTAATTACTAGCACATGGTGAGTGTGCATTTTGATAGGGTGTTTTTGAGCACTGAATACCACCACTGCTTATGAAGGAGGATCTCATTACTTCATTTACTGAGGATCATGTTTATATGGACTTTTCTGAATGGACTATATTGAGATTCCCTATTTATTGATTTTTTGTTTGCATTATTAATTTGCACTTATTTGGTGGTGGTTATATTTAGTTGTGTGATTTGGTTTGCGCTATTATTTGTGATTTGTATATTTTTCACATTTTTATTATTATTTTGAGTTTTTTAATAATAGCAACATCCAGTGAGTGTATTTCCTCTCTTTATTACATTGATGATGTTGGTATAATAGAAGTGTTGTATTTATTGGAACATTTCTTTGGTAACTAACTTTTTAGTGATAGCCCTAAGCATCAGCCTGCAAAACCTTGCAGCTGAAAAACAAGTATTCGAAGATGTCAACATTTGAATTTCAAAATATTCAGCAAATGCATAGACAACCAGACAGCTTCCTTGCAGACCCAAGATATGTACACCTGACAATGGAACATCCAGGAGGTGCTAAACGCCCTGGTGGTGTGTGCCACAATAAGGAAGGACGGAGCCCGATCCTTAATGGCGTACACCTGTACAAACGTCTGCTGAATTCATGAAAAATAGCAGCAGAAGAGGCTGCCAGGCCTATTCATGGTCCGTCTGTGAGCACAAAGGGAGAATCTGACCTCCGAAAAGAGACAGTAGCAGACAGGCACACCAAGGAGAGTAACGCAACCTCCCAAGGATGCGACGGAAGTGGACACAAGGAAAGGCGGACAATGTCCCCATTTAGGTGAAAATTCAACACGGCCTTCGAAGAAGGGGAGGGCATGGATGGAAAACCACCTTACCCTCAAAGGAAAACTCCCAGAGGATCAAAAGGACCAATTTCCAATCCAACAGGAGCAGGGCATGCACAGGGGGCACCACATGACGAACCCCCAGGACAAAAGTTTAACGCAAGAAGTGTGTGGCCAATGGATTGCCTATAGCAGAGAGGGATTTTGTACCAGATAGGACTGAACATAGGCAGTGCTCTTTCTTTTTGTGTCTAGTGTCCTACTCCTATAGGTGACGCTATAACCCTTTGGTCGAGAATCAGAAGAGCTGTGTCCGTCAATGAACATAACAGAAATGTAGTTTATCTGCTCAATATTTATAACAAGACCTTCAAATGCACATATCTTTACAAACATAAAAGTCCAGGTTTTGCTTTCTCAGCACAGTTTAGTCATCTATTCAGGATATTGCCTAAAAGAATTTCATTTGGCCAGTAGGAGATTCTGCCTCGAGTAGCGATTTCTCCTACACTTTCATTTTCTACTACACATCTATTCTGTTGAACAATTAGACTAACAAAAGTACTGTGAGGATCCCTGGGCAGTCATCCCCTCCAATGTACAACACAAAGTGCCGGATCCAATCACTTACTTAATCCATGAGTCTGCTCTTCTTCCCTGTCACTCCCCACTTGCATTGTTCCGTTCCTGGTCATTGCACCCACTTTTAGACGGATTGCCTCCTGACCCAATGCACCATCTGCCATGGGACTCCCCTCAATTAAATTGCTCACAGGATCTTACATGTTGAGATCCACACAAAAAGGTGATCTCCAGTCCTTTTAAACGTGAAACACCGGGGGTCGTTGGCATTTTTATGGGATCACTGTGAATGTGAACTTGCTTGGGAGTGTTTTTGGACCAAAAACAGCATTTCAGTTTTGTGGATTCACTTATATTTTGCACCCTGCAGACCACCATTTTGTAGACTATTGGGTCATTGTGCTCACTTTGAGAACCTTTGGATCAAAAATAGTGTATGCATTTGAAATACTTATTTAAAGTGCTGCATCATTTTACAAACTTTTTGGGATACTGAGCAAGGTGAAGCAACAGAAAATTGTGTGTCCATAATACAGCAATAGATAATAAGTTGTGCATTCTATGTATTGTATCCTCTCCCATGCATGAAAGCCAAGAAGCTGCCACCAATCCTTTGTGTTATCCCTTTAAACTTGATGCCCGGTTATATGCCTTTAAGCATGGTGGTGGTGGGCCAAGTGGAAGATCTGAGGGGCAGGTTATTCTGACTGCACTTTAGTGAGTGGCCGGTGGTGCTGCCGCAGATGGCTTTCCATCACAGGATGTGAACAGACAGGTGGTGTCAATGGCAGCAGTGAAAGTTTCCAAATGCCAGTGCTGGAGCTGGATCCAGGACTGGGAGGGGTGGAGAGGCTGATAAATGGTTGATTGCCCAGTATAAACAGGCAGTGACTGGTGATTCATTCATACTATGCGCAAATTGGTATGATTGTGTCTGCTTACCCACTTTTCTCTCTTCCTTTTTTTAGCAGTGTCCTGATTTTTATGGCCCATCAGCCTGCTGTCCAGGGACATTCTCTTGTCCATGCAAGCTACCTTGCACTACTACCAACCACTGTGCCTGCAATCAACCTTTCTTTACCACCCATCGAGTCTGTGCCCCTTCTTCCCTCACCACCCAAAGTGTCTCCCTATCCCGTCTCCTTCCTGCACCACCCACCATCCTTAATTCCTGACCACCCAGTCCACCTGCTCTTCCCCTGCCCTCACCAGCCACAGCGCCTGTCATCCTTATCTCAACACCCACCATGCCTGCTACCCTCTTTCAAAAACCAAAACACCTGCACCCCCTCCCCTCTGCCCACTTTCTCTCAAACCCACCCCGCCTGCAGCCCTTTTTTTCCTATGCCCTCACTGAAGACAAGCTATAATTTTTCTTTTAAAGACAACTGCCTCCTATAAACAACATGTCTGTAATACACACCTAACATAACCATCAGGTCACCAAGCTTTTGAGCGGGGCCCTGCCCTGCCCATATCTTCTGCATCTGTGACACTCGAGCCTTCTTGGCTTTCAGTGTCTCTTTCTCTTCATCACTGATCGCTGGTCTAAAGGAAAACAAACCATTACGAAATTACAAATATACAAATGTGAAAGCTAGGACGGATGTATTTTTTTCCCAATAATGCATGCACAGCTTAAAATTAATAACTCTAACCCTTTCAAAGCTGTACCCCACTTTGTCAAAGCAGCTCCCATGCTTTTCACATCTACCAATAAAAATATATAGTGCAGATCCAAAACATTAATGCACAACTCCACAGAAAGCACCAAGTGTTTCTATAGTTCTATACAATCAGTCTGAGTCTACTCACATTTGCAGTTCGTTGTGCACTCCAGTCGCTCCTGTGACCGATTTTCAGCAGACAGCGGGCTAAATTCCGCTGTCAGCTGGCATCACTCTGAAAAGGACTGACTCCTGGCTTAGCCTCTCAGCTGTGCCGCTGGGAGTCAGCCGAGTGCTCCAGTGAGCACTTGAGGGGTAGAGAAGAGAGCTGGAGACAGACAGTCACGTCTCTCTGCTCAGAGCGGAGAGGAAAACTGAGTGATCAGCAGTGTTTGATCGTTCAGTTCTCACTGCAGAGCCAGCGCGGAACAGATCGGTGCTGCGTCCACCTAGGTGAGTATAAATGTTTGTGGGTTTTTTTTTTTAAATCCATACTTTTTTTATAACAGTATAATATTGTCATGTTAATGCTCACTCACCTGTCCAGCTCCTCAAACAGTTCTCTCACGGTCATTGCTGCCACTAAAGTAATTACGTAAGGTAAGCAGTCATGCTGTTTTCCCAGAGCAAGCATTTTAGCATAACGTGGAGCCACGGGAAATGATGCCATGGTCTTCCCTAAAGGAGTGATTGGACTGCTGAGTTTAGCCTTCTGTAGATCATTTAATCTGCAATAATAGAAAGAAAACCTAACATGTTAAAACCCACCGACAGCAATATAACAAAGGCAAGAAAGTAATAATTGTAGTTTAGAGCAGTGTTTTTCAACCTTTTTTGTGCAAAGGCACACTTTTTTCATGAAAAAAATCACGAGGCACACCACCATTAGAAAATGTTAAAAAAATTTACCTCTGTGCCTATATTGACTATATATAAAGTAATTCTCTTGAATAGGAATCAAACACAAAGAAATTATTTTATAATTACTTTATTATGAAATAATAAAGTATTTTATAATTGGACCCGGGGGCCGGACCAAGAGTAGATGAATGATGTGTATGTGTCATCCATAGTAAGTATAGTAATATTCCCCCATAGTAAGCATAGTAATTAATCCCCCATATAGTAATTCATCCCCCATAGTAATTAATCCCCCATATAGTAATTCATCCCCCATATAGTAATTCATCCCCCATAGTAATTCATCCCCCATATAGTAATTCATCCCCCATAGTGTAATTCATCCCCCATAGTGTAATTCATCCCCCATAGTAATTCATCCCCCATAGTAATTCATCCCCCATATAGTAATTCATCCCCCATATAGTAATTCATCCTCCATATAGTAATTCATCCCCCATAGTAATTCATCCCCCATATAGTAATTCATCCCCCATAGCAATTCATCCCCCGTATAGTATTTCATCCCTCGTATAGTATTTCATCCCCCGTATAGTATTTCATCCCCCGTATAGTATTTCATCCCCCATATAGTATTTCATCCCCCATATAGTATTTCATCCCTCATATAGTATTTCATCCCCCATATAGTAATTCATCCCTCATATAGTATTTCATCCCTCATATAGTATTTCATCCCCCCATATAGTATTTCATCCCTCATATAGTAATTCATCCCTGATATAGTAATTCATCCCCCATATAGTATTTCATCCCCCCATATAGTATTTCATCCCTCATAAAGTAATTCATCCCTCATATAGTATTTCATCCCCCACAGTACTATTCCCCCCCCCCCCTTCTAGTAAGCCAAGTCCCCCGTGTCAATTCACTTACCTTTTGCGTTCCTCTCGCTGTCTTCCCGCGCCGTTCGGGTCTTCAGGGCGGACTGTGAGAGGAGCCTAGCTCCCCTCCCCTCACGTTCGGCACGCTGCCCCGCCTACACACATCCTGACAGCCACATCCGCAAGCCGGATTAAAAGGTCCGCGCGGACTTTTGGGGCTGCCAACCGAGAGGAGGCAGGGGAGCGGCCGACCGAGAGGAGGGAGGGGAGCAGGCGCCCGGCACACAGAAGAGCCGCATTAGACTGGGTAAAGAGCCGCATGTGGCTCGCGAGCCGCGGCTTGCCGACCACTGAATCATTAGATTCTAATGATTGGTCTATTTGTGAGCCGAAGCCACATGTTACAGATGAAATTGGAATTTTTCCCACGGCACACCAGACAATATCTCACGGCACACTAGTGTGCCGCGGCACAGTGGTTGAAAAACGCTGGTTTAGAGCACACAAGTAGACTACTGTTGATTTTTGCTTTGCTTGTTTATGAAATGTATCACTAATCAAAAGTAAGCATTATAGATAAGACATCTAAAACACGGTTCAAGGACATGCTCCAAAACCTCTAACCTGATGACTTAAATGGGTTCTCTGGGAAATATATGAACAGTTCCCAGAATGATCATTACATTTTTTCTGTAAGATGGAGATTTTAATATATTTAGTTGATAACTGGGAAAGAAATACTTTTTATCACTGAGATTACCTACAGATTGACAATAATTTGATGTGGACAGGTTCCTTTAACTTCATCTGTCTACCAAAACAGATGCTTTGCCCATCTCAACTGCCAGTCAACATCAGCAGACAAAAACAACATGAACAGTGTCTAGTTAGAAGCTGTATCAGTTTCCAGAGGCGGATTTGTGATGGGTTAGTAAAGGTTTGTTCAATCTAGAAAATGTTCCACCCTAACCCCCATTTATCCATTAAAAACTAAGAAAAACAAAAGCTCTGTGTTAATTCTGTCAATATTGTAGACTGCCCATTTCCAGAAGTAGGGCTGTAAGCATACCTGCCAGTCTTTGGAGGCTCCTGCAATGCTCCCAAAGAGATTAGCAATTCCTCTGCTGCAATCAGGGCATCAGAAGATGGAGGTGTAGGGAATGGAAAATTTACTACCTGAAAAAGAAATAGGCATTCCAGTATTGAGTTAATTTATTCATTGTCTTAAATGACTAAATTCTTTCAAATGAGACTGAAGTTACAAATACGATGAGACCCCTGAATAGTACTTTTGTGATTTATTCAACCACACTGAACAGTTTTGCACTCTGCTGCTAGTTAGAGGCTATGCTCACCTCTCTGAACACCTTGTATTTAGAGTGCAACATGTTCAGCATGCACCCCCTCTCCCCCAATCCCTCCCCAACCTGTGACAGCAGGTGAGGGATCCTCTCCCCACACCCGTTGTCACAATCTGAGAACAGAGCGAACGTACGGGGCTCCGGCCGCAGGGCATGTCTTTCACTCACAGTTTTCTGTGAATGAATAGACTACAGGTACTGTCAGCCATTATGGCTGACAGCTCGTAGTTGTCAAAATACTGCGAGGGTTCTGGTGATGGCTCACGAAGTTCATTGATCTTCCTGCTCTCAAGTAACTGCCTGCTCATATTGGAGGTACGGGCAGACAGCTATCCTGAGTCTGCAGGCTGGCATTTCACCCGCGCTCTGCTGATCAAGGGTGCAATGCTCTGCAGGCTCCTTAGAATAAAAAAAAAAAAAAAAAAAATGCACTTTTTTTTTCTACCTGCACAAAAAAATGTGCATTTTTTTTTTTTTCAAAAGGTGAGCTTATCCTTTAACCGCCTCCCGCCCGCCATATAAGGTAATGATGGGCGCAAGGGGGTTCTCTCGTTCTGGGAGGACGTCATATGACGTTCTGCCCTTCTAACAGTGCGTGCACAGCTCTGGGAGCACGCAGTGAGGTGATCGGCAAAGCGCTGTGTCCCTCGGACACAGCGGATCACCAATCAACGGAAAGAGCCGAAGATGTCGGCTCGGTCATGTGATCAGCTGTGTCCATCCACAGCTGATTGCATGTAAATAGGGAAATGCCGGTTATCGGCATTTCTCTCCTCTCGAGCTGTCACGCTGACAGCTCGAGAGGAGAGCCAGTAATCGGCATTCCTCAGAGGGGACATGTACACTGACCACCAGGGCGCTGATGATCAGTGTGCCCTGATGATCAGTGTAGCCTCAGCAGTGCCACCTGTCAGTGCCCATCAATACCAGCTGTCAGTGCTCATCAATGCCACCTGCCAGTGCCCATCAGTGTCTCATCAATGCCACATATCAGTGTCTACCATTGCACATCAATGCCACATATCAATGCCCATCTTTCAGTGTCACCTATCAGTGCCGGTCAGTGCCACCTATCAATGGCAGTCAGTGCCACCTATCAATGGCAGTCAGTGCCACCTATCAATGGCAGTCAGTGCCACCTATCAATGGCAGTCAGTGCCACCTATCAATGGCAGTCAGTGCCACCTATCAATGGCAGTCAGTGCCACCTATCAATGGCAGTCAGTGCCACCTATCAATGGCAGTCAGTGCCACCTATCAATGGCAGTCAGTGCCACCTATCAATGGCAGTCAGTGCCACCTATCAATGGCAGTCAGTGCCACCTATCAATGGCAGTCAGTGCCACCTATCAATGGCAGTCAGTGCCACCTATCAATGGCAGTCAGTGCCACCTATCAATGGCAGTCAGTGCCACCTATCAATGGCAGTCAGTGCCACCTATCAATGGCAGTGCCGCCTATCATGGCAGTGCACCTATCAATGGCAGTGTGCCCTATCAATGCGTCAGTGCCTATCAGTGCAGTCAGTGCCTATCAATGGCAGTCAGTGCCACCTATCAATGGCAGTCAGTGCCACCTATCAATGGCAGTCAGTGCGCATCAGTGCGGCCTATCAGTGCGCATCAGTGCGGCCTATCAGTGCGCATCAGTGCGCCTATCAGTGCGCATCAGTGCGGCCTATCAGTGCGCTATCAGTGCGGCCTATCAGTGCGCATCAGTGCCGCCTATCAGTGCGCATCAGTGCCGCCTATCAGTGCGCATCAGTGCGGCCTATCAGTGCGCATCAGTGCCGCCTATCAGTGCGCATCAGTGCGGCCTATCAGTGCGCATCAGTGCGGCCTATCTGTGCGCATCAGTGCCGCCTATCTGTGCGCATCAGTGCCGCCTATCTGTGCGCATCAGTGCCGCCTATCTGTGTGCATCAGTGCCGCCTATCAGTGTGCATCAGTGCCGCCTATCAGTGTGCATCAGTGCCGCCTATCAGTGCCATATATGAGTGCTGCCTTTCAGTGCCCATCAGTGATGCCTGTCAATGCCCATCAGTGTCACCTACTAGTGCCTCCTCATCAGTGCCAACTATCAGTGCCCATCAGTGCAGCCTCATTAGCGCACATCAGTGAAGGAGAAAAATCACTTATTTACAAAATTTTATAACAAAAACTAAGAAAAAACTTTTTTTTTCAAAATTTCCAGTTTTTGGTTTAGCAAAAAATGAAAAATCCAGAGGTGATTAAATACCACCAAAAGAAAGCTCTATCTGTTTCAAAGAAAGGATATAAATTTCATATGGGTACAGTGTTGCATGACTGCGCAATTGTCATTCAAAGTGCAACAGCACTGAAAGCTGAAAACAAACCTGGGCAGGAAGGGGGTATAAGTGCCCTGTAGGCAAGTGGTTAAAGTCCATTTTGACCAACATTTACACAAATGTGATGAAATCAGAAGGCAGAAAGGTGACCTGATTTTCATGTGAACAAACTACTGTTTTTTTTCATTTCACCTTTTCAATATTCAAATCTTTCATTTGAAGAACTAGATCTTCAACAGGGCGCCTAGTTATTTCAGGTTGAGAAAATTGCTCAAAATCACTGAAGACGGCTGATGAATATAACCTGTACATAGGAAGCAAGAACATAATTAAACAGAGAATAACAAGGACATGAATTCTAAGAAAGATGCAATACACAGTATATACAGATACACAAAAACCTCTGCCAATCCCCATGGTTACAGAAATGTTCACAACCACTACACATATGCGAAGGGTGTATAGTATAATACAACTGGTTTAGATAATATCAGAAAACTAAACAAAGCATGAAAATAGGGGATTCTTGTACTCACTGTAAAATCCTTTTTAAAGTGTTATTGGGAACATAGTAGAACTCAGCTTTTATAAAAACACCTTAACTGTGACTGTAGTCTGGCCAGGGTGAATCAAACAACCACCTCTATTACCTTGCAGCCATGCTGACATCAGCTAAAGCCACGTGTTGGTGTGATAAACTTGGTAAACATTCGAAGGGACGACAAGGTGGACAGATTTCTACACATGGGAAGTTGACACTTGATTTAAAGCACCAGAATTGACTAACAACTGCAGTTGGGATGAGCAGTGACATGGAAAGCAAACAACTTGACCTCTAATACTAATAGCCCTAGTGTTGGTCCAGAGATTCTATCAGGTATTCCTGGATGTAGGGAAACATTTCGGAAAGATCTTTGATAATGATAGGGTACTCAACCTATGGAATGTTGTAAAGTCAATGGAAGCCTGAAAGCCTGCACCACATCAAAAGCGTGAAAGTCTGCCTCCTTAGCCTTAGTTGATATTTTCTCCTGCTCATCTTCTTATGCTACTTTCACACTGATCCGCCGCAAAAACACGGCAAAACCGCATATGCATTTTCGCCATGTTGGCAGATAGGCACTCCATGTAGATATAGTAGTTGAGACATTGGAGGTCACGTATGGGACCCATAAGCCTCTGGCAAGATCCTGTATAGATTTGAAAAATGTGGAAAGGCACTGAAGATAATAATTAAGATTTGTGGGGAAGTAATAGTGATGAGGGTACAATGCTCAATGAAAACCTGTGGCTTTGTGGAACTAAAAGGCAGGCTTCATCCACCTGCTGGCTTGTATACCGTTTTGGGGCAAATTTTAGGAATTTCGCCAAGGCATCCCTGAAGAAACCTGAAGGCACTCTGGAGTAAAAGCCCCAACTCAGCCATTTTCAACCAAACGTCTGCTCTATCCCCCAATAAGAGTGTGGAAAATGTAACACGGAAACAACCAAGCAATCATTGTGCATAAAATACAGTAATCGTAATATTAAATGCAGCTGAGAGTTACGTGCGTCTCCTGAATCATCAGTTGTGAATGACTGTCGAAGACCAATAGATACAGGCTGTAATGTCTTACTTATCAAATAATAGGAAAAAAACAGCACAAACCTGTAGCAGTGACCAGGTTCTGTACGTCCTGCTCTTCCAGCTCTCTGATCAGCTGAGGCTTGCGATGTCCATTCGACACGGAAAGAAGATACACCAGTCACTTTGTCATAAAATCTCTTCTTCACTTTACCACAGTCTACCACATACCTTATCCCAGGGATAGTTAGAGAAGTTTCTGCCACATTGGTGGCCACAATACACAACCTTGTACCACTGGGTGGTGGGCGGAATACCTGAGAAAGATTTGTCACTCAGTTACACATTTCTCAGCTAAACAGACCCTGACATCAGACCTCACTTTGTAACTGAAAACCTTGCAGCAGTAAAGAATAATTGGCACTTGTATGTTTCCATACGTTTTTTAAAAAGTTTTTATTTCTTATTACCCATGAAACAGGTATCTGACCACTACTGTACCTGGAAGTGTCAGTTCTTAAGTGTGCTGTTTCCTGCTCCTGTTACAGCCCCCCCATGCTATGTAGGCAGCCAGCAGGAGCCTGAAAACATTAGAATGTCAGGCAAGACTACTGATTTATTATCTGTGCACTCAAGTCATTACAGCACCTTAATAAATACCTGACATCTGACCAGCTACATATGGTGAATGGATACTGTTGGAAGGCAACATGTTTTTATATCAGACATTTATGGATTCTTACTGCCTGGTTATCACATAACCATTTGGCCTGTTGGATGTCATCTTAGAGTGTCAGTATAAGAGTTTACAATAGGGCGTGTGTAACAAAAGGCTGTATACCAAAATCCTGGTCCTGGGAGTTCACACATACCCCCTAGCAGTGGGGCATGGAGATAAGAAAGCCTCAGCTCAGATTCCCTGGTGACATGACAATTAAAAAGGACAGATTACATGGCTTCTAGCTATGAAGGAAGAAGCCGGATGTGGACTGGAATATTGACCTGGGTCATAGTCTTTTTTGCAATATAGCAATGCCCCCTGGTGGAGACAACGACATACTTCTGGGGGGATGGCTGGGGTAATACTATACTTCCCAATGAATAGGAAGGACAGCCCCTTATGAATTATGGACTGTCGCTCATTGGACGGAGGACTACACGAGGCGGGTCAAGGATGTGCGTGTGGGTGGTGTCTGAGAGTGCTTAAATACAATTCTGGCCATGCTTGCTGCCTCTTTGTTCATTTTTTCTACCTGCGACCCAGCTAAAAGATACTCAGCGTTGAGGATGAACTTACGTAACGTATCATCTTTGCTTTTATTTCTATATACTCTGTAATATTGGTTTAGATTTCCCTGTTAGTGTTTTACTTTCATTGTAAATAAATAAGACCTTTCTTCTTTGAGCATTGTGTTTGTTTTTATAGCTAATATTGCAGTATATTACGTCCATCAATATTGTCAGAGCTTATATATATATATATATATATATATATATATATATATATATATATATATATATATATATATATATTACACTAATTATAGGGACCAACAAAATAGTACATATTTTTATTCTAAATAGGGAGATTCCAGAAAGCCACCCCCATCCAGGGCTGGTATGCACTGCAATGTATCCGACGTAAAAATTCTCCTGTGCCAATACAATGCACATAAAAGTACAGGCCTCCCAATTAAAAAAATATGCGCTGCAGCATTAAAATCTAAAGGCATCTGCATTTAAAGACCTCCCATAACCCCCACAAATACCAGCTGATGCTGCTAGAAAAGTCCACCTAAAGCAGCTTCCTTTGATGGTGTGGGAACAATACTGCACTGGATCTGAATTTATAGAAAAGCTGCCTCTCTCAATGTCGGCTGTGCCTGCTTGCACTACATTTGGTTGATAATTTGGTGCAGGCGATGTGATTATCAGAATTGTCATTGCTGATTCACTACCAACTGAAACGCAACTATAACCACCTTCCGCCTGCCCTATAGTACAATGATGGGCGCAGGATGGTTCTCTCGTTCTGATAGGACGTCATATGACATCCTACCATTCTTACTGCGTATGCGCGGCTCAGGGAGCGCGCAGCGAGTCAATCGCCGGTGTGCTGCGTCCCTCGGACACAGCGGATCACGGAAAGAGCCGAAGATGTCGGCTTGGTCATGTGATCAGCTGTGTCCAATCACAGCTGATCACATGTAAACACGGAAATGCCGGTTATCGGCATTTCTCTCCTCTCGAGCTGTCACGCTGACAGCTTGAGAGGAGAGCCGGTAATCGGCTTTCCACGGAGGGGACATGTACACTGATCATCAGGGCCCCAGAAGTGTCACCTGTCAGTGCTCATCAGTGCCACGTGCCAGTGCCCATCAGTGCCACATCAATGCCACATATCAGTGCATACCAGTGCACATCAATGCCACATATCAGTGCCCATCTGAGCTGCCTTTCAATATCAACCATCAGTGCCGCCTATCAGTGCCAGTCAGTGCCGCCTATCAGTGTGCCAGTCAGTGTCGCCTATCAGTGTCGCGCATCAGTGCCGCCTAACAGTGCGTCATCAGTGCCGCCTAACGTGTGCCTAACAGTCAGTGCCGCCTAACAACGTCAGTGCCAGTCAGTGCCGCCTAACGGTGCCAGTCAGTGTCGCCTAACGTGCCAGTCAGTGTCGCCTAACAGTGCCAGTCAGTGTCGCCTAACGGTGCCAGTCAGTGTCGCCTAACGGTGCCAGTCAGTGTCGCCTAACGGTGCCAGTCAGTGTCGCCTAACAGTGCCAGTCAGTGTCGCCTAACAGTGCCAGTCAGTGTCGCCTAACAGTGCCAGTCAGTGTCGCCTAACAGTGCCAGTCAGTGTCGCCTAACAGTGCCAGTCAGTGTCGCCTAACAGTGCCAGTCAGTGTCGCCTAACAGTGCCAGTCAGTGTCGCCTAACAGTGCCAGTCAGTGTCGCCTAACAGTGCCAGTCAGTGTCGCCTAACAGTGCCAGTCAGTGTCGCCTAACAGTGCCAGTCAGTGTCGCCTAACAGTGCCAGTCAGTGTCGCCTAACAGTGCCAGTCAGTGTCGCCTAACAGTGCCAGTCAGTGTCGCCTAACAGTGCCAGTGTCGCCTAACAGTGCCAGTGTCGCCTAACAGTGCCAGTGTCGCCTAACAGTGCCAGTGTCGCCTAACAGTGCCAGTGTCGTGTCGCCTAAACAGTGCCAGTGTCGCCTAACAGTGCCATGTATCAGTGTCATGTATCAGTGCTGCCTTTCAGTGCCCATCAGTGATGCCTGTCAATGCCCATCTGTGCAACCTACCAGTGCCTCCTCATCAGTGCCACCTATCAGTGTCCATCAGTGCAGCCTATCAGTGCCCATCACTGCAGCCTCATTAGCGCACATCAGTGAAGGAGAAAAATCACTTATTTACAAAATTGTATAACAAAATTTTCAGTGGTTTTTGTTTTGTTTTAGAAAAAATAAAAATCCCAGAGGTGATTAAATACCACCAAAAGAAAGCTCTATCTGTCTCAAAAAAATGATAAAAATATCATATGGGTACAGTGTTGCATGACCGCGCAATTATCATTCAAAAATTGGCCTGGGCAGGAAGGGGGTATACGTGCCCTGTAGGCTAGTGGTTAAAGTCCATGTTGTGCCCTTTGAGGAGGAATTACTTTACAACACATTTAGCTCAAGCTGTGATGACTTGTTTGTTAAGAATATGAAAATATTTAATGTCATGTCTGAGCATGGGAGCACTTTAAAGTGAACATGTGTTCAGATCATTCATGCTAAAATGTTTACATATTCTGAACAAGTAAAAGCACTTTAAAACAAGGCCTCATTTACCTCTGTATCTATAGACATTTTGGAGAGATTAATTTTCAATGCTCACAACAGAAGCAAAGAAAGCTTTTTTTCTATGAGAACAGATCTGGCAACAGGCAAAGATCAGGCATTGTTAAAAGAAAAAGACTGAAAGCCAACTTTGTTGTGATTTAAGAATGAATTACTTCACAATAAAAGCAGCTAGAGAGATACGTGAGGGTTTGGATCAAAGCTATTTTACGGCTTGTTAAAGTGGTAGTAAACTCACCAGTACAAGTCATGATCATGAAAACCAGTATAAAAGTACTTACTAGTGGGTGTCTATAAAAGTTCTTTCAGGTGCACAGTTTAGAAGATATCGCCCACCTCTTGTTTCAATTATGTCACTTGCATATGCGCACTGTTATCCAGCTTGATGGCACACAGTCAATACAGCTATATGCCGGGTTGCCTCAGCATTACTCCATGGCATTAAGTTGAAATCTCGCAAGATTGCTGACTATTCACAAGTGCCTTGGTATAACCTTACCACGCATGCACGAGATAACTGCGCAAGGTGGAAGTTTGGGTGAGAAAAGGAGTGAGAGGACTCCACAAAGATGGCGGCTGCTATAGAAAGAACGGGCTACAGAAATAATAAACTGCAGAAAATGTAAGAACAATTACATGACGTTCTGGATTATCCATGTGTGTTTAAAAGTGCATTTAATTCTGGTAATATGCTTCTAGTGGCTTAGTTGTATTGAGTTTACTACCACTTTAAACTGAATTAAAAGTTTAATTTCCTTAGAAAGAGCACAGGTTCACTTTAAGCATCAACTCCAACAATGCAGCTTAAAACCATTTTTGAGACTTGAGCTTTAACAATCTTTTTGCCGTCTACCTCCAACTACTGAAAAAGCAGAAAAAATAAATGAACAGTATACCTGGGCCTGTCTTTCAGGAGCCAACAGTGAGTATAACGGCAGCACATAGAGTGGGAGGGAAGAGTCTGCTTTTTCATCTATAAAAATAAGAACATACACTTTAAAGACGGGTATTTTACATTCATTAATAAACTGCTGACTGACTGAAAGCAAAAATCTTCAGTGCTGCATGTACACCTCCTTACAACATACCTGATGTGAATATTTACATATTTGGCAGCAGATAATATAAAAAAAAAATAAGATATCGAATAGCTAGGAAATATCACACAAATTGTTTCAGTCCTATCATACTGCTAATGGACACCTGTCACTGGAAAAATATGCAGGTTTTCCCAATTGTTGACCTCCTTTTAAAAACAATAGTTGCAGGATTGACATGAAGATTCTGCGGCTTATATACAAATAGTGACTACGTACTGTATTGGGATATGCACCAACTAAAACCCAAACTGCCGATTTAAGTAATGCTTATATGAATGTATGTAAAGATGTGATCAGACCTTCATCAGATCCTCCATCTCCTAAATCCAGATCAGAATCTGATCCCTCCCCTTCATCATCATCAATATCGCCTCCAGCTTCCCGGTCTTCATCTCCTTCATCCAGTGGCAATGCCGAATAGTTGTCCAAATTTATTTTAGGCAAAGTCTAAACAAAGACAACATATTTTCTTTATTTTTTTTATAGATGCTGTATTTTTATATATTCTTATACTTATAACCACCATTACATGGAGTTTTTGTTCTGAAAACAATACAGTTTGCACTAGGGCACTTACTAAGTTTTTCCTGAGCTTTGATTTCTTATGCTTTTTTACTGTTTCTGAGTCATCTTCTTCTACGGCTACAAAAGAGAATTTAAAAGATAGATTAACAGCAAGAAAACACACAAGACAATTCTTTGCCATAAAATGTTACTACAGGTTTTGGATAAAGTAGGAAAGAATTAGAAATCTGTCATGTTTTACTCCAGTCAGAGGACTGTTAGATTCTTTCACTTCCTATCAGGTAAAAATGTTTTCCACCGCACAGGGTGTGAGAGGGGACAGAAGTAACATTGCTAATAAAAATTATCTTTTTTTATTTTATTTGTTATGCTTACATTTATACGGCTTAAAGTCCCATATTGTTTTTTTTTCTTGTGTTGGGCAGATGGCAATGTTTGGCTTTCTAGGAGTTTGCTGAGACAAATTACTTAAGGTTGTTCTATATTATTCTCAAGCTTTAACACAGCACATTGCTGTTCCAAAATCAAGTCCAATTCTCTTTTGTGTACCACCTACTGTGAGGATGCTAACCACATTTGGCACATGTATTGCAGTTTGGAAATCACTCACTTACAGGAGAAGAAGGGCCAAAGCTCTTCTGACCCTTCTTCTCATGTAGGTCATAGCAGTGCACTTAGTTCTGCACTCCTGCACATTGGTTCAGCTTGGCTACTTATGTGCCGAACCTGTGGAATCTTCGTGGAAGCTGGAAATCACTGAGGTAGGCTGCCCTGCTGCCTTGTGAACAAAGGAGGTTTCTAGTTCAGCATGGGTGCCATTCAGGGAACACTTTGAGATTTCTTAATGAATGCAAAGCATTCTCTGCTTGAACAAGGTGGAGAGAGACAGTGCAGCGACATCACAATCTCCACCTAGTCCAGCAAGAGAATGCTTTGCATTCACTGAGAAAAAGGAAAGTGTTCTCTGAATAGTGCCTATGTAGAGCAGGCAACCTCCTGTGTTCAATAAGCAGCAGTGCAGCGGCATGGGATCCGGAAGCTAACGCCAATCACTGTAGTAGCAGTGCCTACTACAGTGATTTTCAGCTTCCAGGGGAAACCCACATATATGGTACATACATACTTACACTGGTTTAGCTGGACCAATAGAACTAAGTAAAAATTGCCATAACTGGAATTCAGTTTTAAAACAGCCATAAAGATATTTATTTAGAGTAGTAAAATAATCCTCACTTGACAGTTATCTTCAGGCACTGTATCAGTCATGCAAGTATTTACCAATCCCTTCAAATGCTATATCTTTAGGGTCATATGGAATTTAAGAGAGGTTTTGCCTTGCATTTTAAGTATTTGGCCACTATTTTGTTAGCCACCATTTTTACACACAGATTAGGTGCACACGCATGTACTTTACTCCAAAATATGCACCCTTGAATGCAAGACTTGGAAATTTTTTTACAGATCTGAATTGCAGTGCTAGAATACACTACTAAACTCCGCTGTTTGTTTGAAATATTGCCTATCACACATCAAACACAAGGCCCTCGGGCTGAATTCAGCCAGCCAGGCCATTGCATGTGGCCCTCGCACCTCTCCCGCAGCTGTACCACCCCCTTCATCCCTGCCCCCACCTTGTCTCAGCAGTTGGCAGCAGAGAGGAGGACAGAACACCTGCGCCAGATCCTGCGCTTCATCTCTGGTTCTGCCCCTGTCCCGTCTCATCTCAGCATGTCCCGTCTCATCTCAGCAGTCAGAAGCAGAGAGGAGGACACAACACCTGCACCAGATCCTGCACTTCATCTCTGGCCCCCCCCATCCCATCTCAGCAGGTGGCAGCAGAGAGGACGACAGAACTCCTCCTATAGATCTGCTCCTCAATTCCACCTCCCCTTGCCCCAGCATTCAGCAGACTCCAGCCCTTCTCTGGTCCTCCTCCAGACCTTGCATTTTCTGCTTCCCAGCTTCAGCAAAGGTAAGGGGGGTGAACTGTGATGTAGAGGGTGGGGTGTTCTGGACATCTGCTTATAGTTATGAGAATAATACAGTTCTAAGCCAGTTGAAAAGGGGTATCATCCACAAAAAAACTTTCTTGGCTCAGAAAAAACACCATGGCAGAACTGTGTTCTGTCTGAGTAGTCTCCAGGAAAGTTTGAGTGTGCCTTGTATGATCTGCTACAGAAGTGTGAATGAGCTCCATGCCAGTTTCCACCTGCATTTCATATCTTAAATCTTAAGTTATTACTGGTTTTAGTAATAATAGAATGAAGGGCCAATTATTTAATATGTTAAAGAATAGATACATTTATATAGTCTCACAGATACAACCAGCTCTTTGAGGGCAACTAGAATGTTGATGTGGCCGACAGTGAAATTGAGTTTGATACTTCTGACCTATCAGCTGCATTCAGATATGTACAAAACATCTTAAAACAAATTAAAAAAAAAACGTTCCAAAAAATTGCTAAATGTAATATCCCTTCCCAGTTGCCACTCCGTGACTGTGCTTCCCTATCTAACACAGAATACTGTATATAAACTATAAATATGAGTGGCGGTTTCATATACAATAAAATACCACTTAAATATTAATAGTGTGCACCAATAGTGTGCATAAAATTCAAATGCTGCCCCAAAATGACCACTGTATACTAATATTGGGCACCAACAGTGTCCTTTAAATTTTAAATGCTGCTGTAAAGAAACGTACTCTACACACTTCAAACAGTGATGACAATGAGACTTGAACTTTCAGTGCCGTGTCACCACAACCCCTGTGCATACTAAGAATCACCAGATGAATGTGACCCTGAATATATATGGGTCAGTAAGTGCATGGGATATATAATATGCTCATCACTGAAGATGCCTAGCAAGGTGAAATTAATATTTAAGTGGTCATTTTATTGTATAAGAAAGCTCTACTCATATTTATGCTTTATAAACTATAAACATTTTGCAATACACCTGCAGGCTGATTTTATTAGCATATTCTATTTCTTTGGCTTGTGTTTTGCATTACCTATCTCTGTAACGTATAATCCAGTGCCTGAAGCAAACATTACAAAAAGGGACCCCAAGGCATGCACCAAGGGTAACGGATCTGGAAACTGCTAGATAACGCAAGACAATGTTTTTGCCACTGTCCAATCACCTGAAGGTAGCAGCATATATAACATGGTCCAGGAATACTAGCCCTTTGTCCTGTACTCTACAATTAAAGTATAATAATTTTGTTGCTTTGTCACTCTCACCTTGAGCCTGGTTTTTTCCTCTATATGGAAAGATTTTTCTTAGCCGTCTACAAAGGGAATGCACTTCTGCTTGTCCTGTGAGAAACACCAAGATAGCCCCTAAAAGGATAACATCATTTGACATTAAAAATGTGATCTATGAAGCTGGTGTTTTGTATCATATATAACAACTACTTCAAATGCCACGTACTCCTGTACTAGTTTGCCAAAAGCCTCATTTTGAATCTAAATATCTTATGAACTAATTCTTTTACAAACTAAAAATATCTTTCACCTGGGGGAAGCATCCTGTGTATCTTGCAGATCTTTCTAAAACACTCCCCAGTATAGTCATCTAATGGGGTATGCTTATTGAAGTGGACAGTGACTGGAAACTGCCTGGCATCCACCTAAAATATAGTTAAAAAAAAAAATTAACATGCATGTTGCAGACTCTAAATACATGCTATTTACTGATAGAACAAACTTTTCCCTGGGGACTGGAAGTTCTTAAATTTCACCTTACATTTTCTAACCCATAGAAAATAGACTGCATTAATAAAATTAGACACTTATAGGTGCCTGTATATACCTTCACTCATTCTTTTAAAAAGAGGAACTGATCTCTGGAAGCTGTTCCCAGCCATGATCCTGGTATAACAATGGCAGCGCAGTGGCTAAGTGGTTAGCACTTCTGGTTAGCAGTACTAGAGTCATCTGTTCGAATCCCAGCTGTGGCACAACCTGCCTGGAGTTTGGATGTTCTCCCTGTGCCTGTGTGGGTTTTCTCTCCGGATACTCTGGTTTCCTCTCACACTCCAAAGACATGCTGGTAGGTGAATTGGCTCCTGTCTAATTTGGCCCTAGTATGTGTAAATTGAGTAAGGGGCCTTCAGTTGTAAGCTGCGTGAGGGCAAGAACCTGTAATAAATAACCGCTTCCACCCGAGCATGTACCAGTACAACCTAAGTGCTGGAAATGGTGAAGTGCCTCTTCTGCATAGTGAACAAATATAATTATGTATTTGATCCTCATAATTGACATCCTCCATCCCCCTTATTATTTTGTTGAACTTCGCTGAACTCTTTCTTATTCAACAACGTCCTTCCTAAGAATAGATAACCAAAACTGAACAGCATGTTTAGGTTAGGCCAAGCCAGTGTTTTGTAAAGGGGTAGAATTATTGATCTCTTGAATGTATGCCCTTTTTAATGCACAACAATAATTTGCTAGCTTTGTTAGCTAGGCATTGCACACTATTGCAATCTGTGATCTACAAGCACCCCCAGATCCTTCTCTATCACCGATTCTCCCAGGATAGCCCCTCCTAATTTGTATTTTCTGTGTGTATTTTTGGCACCCAAGTGCATAACTACATTTTTCAATAGTGAACCTCATCTGCCATTTAGCTGCCCAACCCCCAATTTATATAGGTCTTCCTGTAATATGAAGCTATATCCTGTGCCAAGTTTATATCACCGCATAATTTGGTTTCAACAAATAACAAATCATCAACTTTTGCCTTTGGTCTCCCTGCAGCTGATTTTCGATCATTACTGATAATCCTTGTTCTGCAGTATGTGTCTGTGTAGAAGTGGCCATATTGGTAAGATTTGGTCTTTCATGGCAGAGCCTTACAGCAAGAACAGTGTGAAGCACAGTATTGACAATACAAAATCTCACTCACTAGCAGTCAAAGACAACCTTAGATCTCACACTGTAGATATACAGCTAAGAAGCTGTAGGCACAGGAGTGCCAAGGCACCCACATACAAGAAGTGCACTGCTATTTTTTTAGGAGGAATGCAAAACAAAAAGGTCAACTTTTTAGGCTACTACATCGACACAATTAACATTTTTATATCTTATGTCTTCGCTTTTTGACCTTTTGAGTGTTTAGGCACCCGTGGGTCCATTAAACACTTAGTTCTCATCCTGCTGGCCCCATAGACAACCAAACCCAAAACAAAAACTAATATTACTCTGCCGCGTAGGCTGCATCTTAACTGCAATGTCAAGCAAAAAGATCACAAGAAGAGGAGATACTGGACAGAGACAGATGTGTTTTGGAAAATATACTCCTTGCTAAATCAGTAGTTCATTTTCAGTACTAGCTATAAAAAAAAATCTCAGTCCCAGAAAAATGCCTGAAACCTTTACATTTCTATCCTTGAATGTTATCCTGGAATGTATCCTTGAATGTCAACAAAGAAAGAGAAAATATTTAAAATTACACCTATTTCCCTGCAACTTATAATGATTTAGATGAAACTGAAAGGCCTTCTTGAAATACTATAGATATACATGCATAATAATTGGACAATAGAGTGCTGATGGACACATATCTACCTAATAAAAAGATAGATATGAAAATCTTAAAACAAGGATGTTAAATTGTGTGTTATCTCATTACATTTAACACTGCACAAAATGGAAATCTATGGACCTGGGAGGTGTAATTGTAAGGTATTAATACGTTGTACATTTACTAAAGATTTACACCTCAAGAAGAGCTTTTTAATGGCTGCTGACATTTGATCTCTCAATGGCATGTGCTGGGCCCATATAAATCAATAAATGAGTAGGATTCAGTATCCAGGAAGGAGAATACAAAGCAGCTAGTTAGTAAGTAGGTATGTACTATATTACGCACCATTTACTTGTCTTCTCCTCCTCCCAGCCTGTGACTGGACAGTAAAAGAAGAATCAGCAGAATGATGAGCTAAATAGAACATTTTCATGGTACACTGCAGATTTAGGGCCCTATACTAACCTTTGCCTAAACCAGAGACCAATGTACTGTGCTGTACACCTCTTTACCAGAAAACCAACAGCAACAATGCAGCAGAAGTATGCTCGAACTTTGTAATGCTGACAGGAAAGATCGTATGTTTAATTTACTTGCTTTATTGAATTTGTGAATTATACCTTTTTACCACAAAACATCTGTATGGACTTGTTTTCAGGCTAGATATTGCTAGAGCTTATGACAATATAAAATGACATGCTGCACACAAATAATGACAAACTCTGTGTTGCCATTATTCCTGAGAAAATGTTAAGTATGCAGTAATTCCCTACATAACTACATAACACATGAAGTGGCTAGAAATGACTAATAGGATTTAGAGGATTAAGGAGGAAACAACCTTAAATATGAAATGAAAAGCAAATTGGGATCCAACTATTCAAAACTGCCATGATATTAAAAAGGTGAGCCTTGGGACAAATTAAACATACAAAATCTGTGCATATATGGAGATAACACAAACCCAGAGTGCCTGCGTCCAGGGCCAATCACTTGCATGTGATTGCAGCAATGTGATTACATGTGAATGGGTGCAATTAGCTGTGAGAGCCCGGCTCAATTACTTGAATGGGGTTGCCACTCGCAATCATGGGATTCTGGGCTTGTCACATATAATTGCAAAAATATTTGAAACGACTTATGACCATAATAAGCGAATTAAAAAAAAACACTTCAGCACATTCCCTTTGAGTTTTTATTTTCTTCAGAACCAGCTTGTTTATTCAACCGATGCAACATAATTTGAATAAAGCCACTCTTCGCACTTGAGTCACACAGAATCGCATGACAATGGAAATCACATTGTTTTTAATAGTGTTCATTCACATCAATGCGACACAGCAATGAACAATTTTGGAAAAGGTTCCTGTACTACTTTGGGGTGATTCCAGTATGATTTTTGCCCCATCGAATACAAACCTTATCAAAGTTGCATCCAAGTAGCAATACATAAACACACTTAAAGTCATATCAAAATCTTATTGCTGCAGAGTAAATGTAGCTAACTTAAACTAACAGTAAAAATAGTTGTCTGTTGATCAGGGGAACACTGCTGATAAAGTTACAGCTATGTTTAAGAACTTGACACCATGTTTTCTTTACTTTAAGTGGCTGTAAACGCTTAAGGTTTTTTACCTTCATGCATTCAAGGCATTAAGGTAAAAAACCTTCTCTGCGCAGCATCCTCCTCATCCCCCCCTAATACTCACCTAAGCCTCAGAGTGAGTCATGTGGATCGTGACGTAAACGCGTTAAGGTACGCACTGACATTTCCGGTGGCGTCATTTCTGGCATCGGCGCCATTTCTGGAGGGATTGTGGAGCAAGTGGAGCTGCATGCATTTCTTAGCATGAGAACCATGGAAACACACCCATGATATGGGAAAAAGCTGATCTTTGTCATTTTACATGTGAGTGGGCATTTTATTTATATTCATGTTATTATTAAAACTGGATTACACTATGGAGGATCTTCTTTGTTTTTAATGGTATCTTAAACGGTTTTGTGGAATCGAGTACCTAAGAGATAGGAGAAGATATTGGAGGGATCTATCCATACATTCCATCCTTTGATGATACCTTATTGGGTGTATAAGGTCACCTACATAGCTGTTTGGCCCAGTGGGACGCATCAAGGAGGTGAGGGGCCATCTTGGCCATCTGTGGATTGACCGCACACTGAGTGGCACTGTGATCACCTCACGGAGTTTTGCTGTGATTTTTCACCATCATTGGCATTTATGGACTGCTGCACATAGTATTCATTTTATGAGCACCTAACACTGAATATTTATTGTGCATTCTATGTGTGATATTTCCATTTATCTCATTTGTATTTTAGTATAGGTTGTTAGCGCTGCACTATTTTTTGTATTTGTATAAAGTGGTGCTGCTGAACATCTGATAAGATCCAGTCAATGCTACGTCGATAATTTACCACCCGCCTCACTGGATTTTTGCAGGGACAAAATTTCGAGCAACCTGGGCCATCCTAAAATAGGCCAAAGTTAGTAAAAAAAACACACATGAAACACCCACGTTTTAAAAAAAAATTGCAAAAATTTCCCCTTTAAGAAGGGGAGCACCTGAAGCACACATTAAAAAAATTATTACCAATAGAAGAGGGAGTATTATTTATAGGCAACACTGAGTTTGAAACATATGTGCTGTACTTATTAATGTGAAAAGATCAGCCTTGTAAAGAACAGAGAAAGAGCTCACTCACTTTAATTACTGGAGGGGGCACCGGGAAAAGTCTCTTGTTTTCTGTGAAATCCTCAACACGCAGAGTAGCAGACATAATGACTAATTTTAAAGGGCACCTTTTCTGTTAAGAAATAAAATATCAATTAGAAAATGAAATGCTATATTTAAACAGGCGTTTCAGGTTAACAAAGAACATTTATTGCTATATACAGGAAACAATGCAGTTGTGTTAGAATGTTAGACAGTTCTGTGTTTCTAACCAAAAATGTAATATATTTAGCTCACCAGTCCTTGGATGTGGTGGCTGAATTATTTTCCTTTTTTCTACTGGAGATCCTGCCAGTAACACACTTCCTAATCTAAAGTGATAACACACTCACTGTACTGTATTGATGGAATAGTATTGTCACCCTATGAAAAGAAGTGTAAGGACTATAGACTATTCCCCTCAATTGCATAGTCCTAACATACTCCTGATAACCCTGAGGTAGTATTACATAGTGCAGGACAGCAACAGACTACATGAAGGTAAAAACCTTCGGCCTCTAAAATCACTTTAAGTAGGACCAAGCTCTCCCCTATCCCCCCTCCTTAAGGGCTCAGACATACTATGGCCTAGCAGTTGCAGTGCATCACTATTCATTTGAATAGGTTGCGTTCGGCGGGTGCTAGTGCTTGCCAAACATGACAGGGTAGGATTCCTGCGCTGTTGTGAAGCAAAGCATCACATGTGCACACCCCCCCAGATGCTGCCTTTCCAACTAAAGAGCCAGGGTTGACTGGCATTTTTCTGCAAATTATTTTAAATGCAAAATCATCAGTTTGGTCAAACTGCCCCTTTAATATAAGACACAAAATAGTCACCTTATAGTAGCCAGTCTCCTAGTAATCAAAAGGTTGCTTCTAACTTCCCAACACAGTTGATAATATACAAGACTAGATTTTTATTACTTTTTATAGCAATAGGAGAAAGCAAGATAGAAACAAAGGAACCTTTGTCCGAAGAGGAACAATGCGTGATAAGAGGCCGATTAAAATATCAGTGTATACACTCCTTTCATGAGCTTCATCAATTATTATCACTTTGTATTTGTTTAACAGGAAATCCTGAAAAAAAATAAATAAATAAATAATGGCTTAAATATTAGCACTCTGGAAAAATATTTATAGACTGTAATCTATAAGAAAAGTACTTAAAGAGATTCCCCTCCCCCACCAGACTGAAAAAAACATCTTCATACAACTATGCATGCTGAACAGTAAACACTATATAGTCATATGTAAAATGTACCCCATTTCAGAAAATTTACAATTTATATTTCTATACTTCTGGCTTTCCCAAGACACTGGTGACGTAGCCAGTGCCTCCCAGCTGCCCTCTCACCAGTGCAGGGAGCTCTCATGTGTAAACTGCAAGATCCTGTAGAAAAGTTCCTGAAGCCATGGCAATATAAAAATAAAAGAGGCAACTCTGGGAGTGAAGGTTCATTTTAGGACTGACCAGTAAGTTTATATATATACAGTGGATATAAAAAATCTACACACCCCCGTTAAAATGTCAGGTTTCTGTGATGGAACACCCACATTTAAAAAACATAGCAGGGCCAACCCCAGTCTGAGCATATAGGTCCTTTAAAAAATAATCTAGAGTGGGTGACTGGGAACAAAGAAGGCAAATTTATTAAATACCTTCTTCAGTTCTGTGTATACAAAGGAGCATGGGGGAGCTCTTGTCCATAATGGGCATGGTATTGACACAGCTCCAGATGATCACCATTGGCTCACAATTGATATGATCCAAAAATATTTCGACAGAATAAAGGTGAATAAAGCACCTGGACTGGATGGCATACACCCACAGGTCCTTAAAGAATTGAGCTCTGTCATTTCAAAGCCATTGTTTCAAATTTTTGGGAACTCTTTAATGACTGGCATAGTACCACTGGATTGGCGTAAGGCCAATGTGGTGCCAATATTTAAAAAGGGGTCAAAATCTTTACCAAGTAATTCTAGACCTGTTAATTTAACTTCTATAGTTGGGAAGATACTGGAGAGTTTAATAAAAGACCACATAGATGAGTTCTTGCTGGAAAAAAAAATTTTAAGCAACAGACAGCATGGATTCATGAAAGACAGAAGTTGTCAAACAAATCTGATTTCTTTTTATGAGGAGGTGAGCAAAACCTTGGACAGAGGGGTGGCGGTGGACGTGGTATACTTGGATTTTGCAAAAGCTTCTGACACAGTTCCCCACACACGGCTGATGTGTAAGGTAAAGTCTACAGGCTTGGAAAAATCTGTATGTAAATGGATAGAAAACTGGCTAAAAGATCATATTGAAACAGTAGTGGTTAATGATTCATACTCCGAATGGTCTAGGGTTGTCAGTGGTGTACCCCAAGGTTCAGTGTTGGGACCCTTACTCTTTTAATATATTTATAAACAAAATAGTATCTGGGATCAGATGACACCAAGCTGTGCAGTAGTATAACGTCCTTACAGGATGTCTTCAACTTACAAGCTTAATTGGGCTTACTTGTTTAATTGGGCAATTATGTGGCAAATGAGGTTTAATGTTGATAAATGCAAGGTTATGCACTTGGGAGCTAAGAATATGCATGCATCATACATACCAGGGGGGTACAATTGGGAGAATCAATGGTGGAGAAGGATCTGGGAGTTCTGGTAGATCACAAGCTTAATAATGGCATGCAATACCAAGCTGCGGTTTCTAAAGCAAGAAAAATCCTCTTTTGTATTAAAAGAGGTAAAGGTGAAACTCGAAAAATTTGAATATCAAGCAAAAGTTCATTTGTTTCAGTAATGCAACATAAAAGGTGAAATGAATATATGAGATAGACTCATTACATGCAAAGCAAGATAGTTCAAGCCGTGATTTGTCATAATTGTGATGATTATTGCTTACAGCTCATGAAAACCCCAAATCCCCAATCTCAGAAAATTAGAATATTGTGAAAAGGTGGAATATTCTTGGCTCAAAGTGTCCCACTCTAATAAGCTCATTAGGCCATAACACCTGCAAAGGGTTCCTCAGCCTTTAAATGGTCTCTCAGTCTGGTTCAGTAGGAATCACAATCATGGGAAAGACTGCTGACCTGACAGTTGTGCAGAAAACCATCATTGACACCCTCCATAAGGAGGGAAAGCCTCAAAAGGTAATTGCAAAAGAAGTTGGATGTTCCCAAAATGCTGTATCAAAGCACATTAATAGAAAGTTATGTGGAAGGGAAAAGTGTGGAAGAAAAAGGTGCACAAGCAGCAGGGATGACCGCAGCCTGGAGAGGATTGTCAGGAAAAGGCCATTCAAAAGTGTTGGGGACTTTAACAAGGAGTGGACTGAGGCTGGAGTCAGTGCATCAAGAGCCACCACACACAGACTGATCCTGGATATGGACTTCAAATGTCGTATTCCTCTTGTCAAGCCGCTCCTGAACAACAAAATGTGAGAAACGTCTTACCTGGGCTAAAGAAAAACAGACCTGGTCTGTTGCTCAGTGGTCCAAAGTCCTCTTTTCTGATGAGAGCAACTTTTGCATCTTATTTCGAAACCAAGGACCCAGAGTATGGAGGAAGAATGGAGAGGCACACACTGCAAGATGCTTGAAGTCCAGTGTGAAGTTTCCACAGTCTGTGTTGATTTGGGGAGTCATTTCATCTGCTGGTGTTGGGCCACTGTGCTTCATTAAGTCCAGGGTCAACGCAGCCATCTACCAGGAGATTTTGGAGCACTTCATGCTTCCTTCCGCAGACGAGCTTTATGGGGATGCTGACTTCATTTTCCAGCAGGACTTGGCACCTGCCCACACTGCCAAAAGCACCAAAACCTAGTTCAATGACCCTGGGATTACTGTGCTTGATTGGCCAGCAAACAAGCCTGACCTGAACCCCATAGAGAATCTATGGGGCATTGCCAAGAGAAAGATGAGAGACATGAGACTGAACAATGCAGAAGAGCTGAAGGCCGCTATTGAAGCATCCTGGTCTTCCATAACACCTCAGCAGTGCCACAGGCTGATAGCTTTCATGCCACGCTGCATTGAGGCAGTAATTGCTGCAAAAAGGGGCCCAAACCAAGTACTGAGTACATATGCATGCTTATACTTTTCAGAGGTCCGATATTGTTCTATGTACAATCCTTGTTTTATTGATTGCATGTAATATTCTAATTTTCTGAGATTGTGGATTTGGGGTTTTCATGAGCTGTAAGCCATAATCATCACAATTATGACAAATCATGGCTTGAACTATCTTGCTTTCCATGCAATGAGTATCTCATATATTAGTTTCACCTTTTAAGTTGCATTACTGAAATAAATGAACTTTTGCACGATATTCTAATTTTTCGAGTTTCACCTGTATAGATTCCAGAGAGAGAAAGATATCTTTTTATCACTGTACAAATCATTAGTAAGACCTCATTCCAGATATGCAGTTCAGTTTTGGCCACCAATTCACAAAAAGAACATTGGGGAATTGGATAAAGTACAGAGAAGGGCAACCAAACTGATAAGAGGCATGGAGGAGCTCAGCTATGCGGAAAGATTAGAGGAACTTAATTTATTTTCTCTTGAGGAGATTAAGGGGGGATATGATCAACATGTATAAATAAATCAGTGGATTCACATAGTGAACTCGGAGTAGAGTTATTCACCCTGAGGTCATCAAAGAGGACAAGGGGGCACTCTTTACGTCTGGAGGAAAATAAATGTAATCTCCAAACACGGAAAGGTTTCTTCACAGTGAGAGCTGTGAAAATGTGGAATAGGCTCGCTCAAAAGTTGGTTCTGGCCAGCTCAGTGGATTGCTTTAAAAAAAGGCCTGGATTCTTAGATACACAGAATATAACTGGATACTAACATTTATAGGTAAAGTTGGTCCAGGGAATATCCGATTGTCTCTTGGGGGATCAGTAAGGATTTTTTTCCCCTGCAGGAGCAAATTGGATCATGCTTTGCTAGGTTTTTTTGCGTTCCTCTGGATCAACTGTGGGTATAGGATTATAACTTTTTTTTTTTTTTTTTTAACTGGATGGACTTTTCTCTTTCTTCAGCCAGACTATGTAAAAAATGAGAC